TCTTTGTTTTCTTGTATTTTTCCCGAAAACCAATTCTGAAATTGGGTTCTCGTTTGGCGCTTCAATGCGGAAGGCGTTCTATCGAATCGTTTCTTGGAGGGTCGGACGGAATGAATTTTGATGGGAGGCCGCGGGACGATATGGTTAAGGGAGACCCCCCCCCCTCATCCCCCCCACCCCCCCCCCCACCCTCTCACGCCCCACCCCCACCCCTCCCCCCCCCACGCCCCACCCCCACGCATTCGGGGAACCCAAAGCCCTAAGGCTACCCTAAAGACAAGAGCATTAGACCCACAGAGGGTCAAAACCTGGAGTGAAGGTTCTTGAGGGATTAGGGTTCTGGGTATAGTTTAGGGTTAGGGTTTGGGATTTCGGGACTAGGGTTGAGGTTTCACGGAGAGGTTGCCTATGTTGCAACCTTACGCCAACCACTCCAACAGTTCGAAGCCTTTACCCCCCCATTTCCACAACACGGCCTCAAACGGTTTCGGGCCTCTTGGGTCGGCGGCCTGAGCCGGAGGCTCCTATATTAGGCTTGGGACTAGTCGGGGGAAGCGGACGAGACCTGAAACTCAGACATCTCCAACGAGCGTGTCTCTACCTATTGCAACAATCTCTACACAGCCAATCGCCCAAAGTGCCGGCTCCTTTTCTGCCCTGCTCGCGCTGTCCCGCAAGTCGACGGATGCAGTTCTCGGCTTTTCGGAGGGCTTTGGAGCGACTCGATGCCGGCAAGACCAGATTTAAGTTAAACATAACATCATCTGCGCAAACCTCTGTTCGCAGTCGATCGCCCATCATGGGTCCATCGGAATGAGAAGTAGCAACAAGCTGCAGTGGCTCATTGGCGGATCCTCGACGCATTTCAGCTGGATGTGCGTAGACGTGGTGCCTGACCTCGGTTTCCTGCTTCTCAGAACACATCGGTCTATCGATGCCTACGCGCACCATGTGTCCACAGAAGGGGCTGCGCGGAGTCGGCCTAGACGATGTCTCACGTCTGCAGAAACAAAAAAGAGAATCGCAGCCACTCATCTGATCCGCTATGCGTCCTCCACGTCACGAAAAGGGATCCCAAAAAGATCCTCGAAAAGACCCCGCATGTCCTCCGGAGCCCATGGTCCCAAAGCATTCCGCACATCCCAGCCATCCGGTGTCCATGCACACATCATCCTCGTCAGATACATCAACCGGAAGCATCGCTTGAGGACTTCTTTGGTCACGTCGAGGTCAATAAAGAGGAGGTCTGGCAAGATCAGCCGCCTCCAACTGGGAACGAAGGTGAAAAAATCACAGTCTTCGCTTATCTGTCTCCTGAGGTTGTACTGCTCGGCAGGAAATGCCAATGGGCCCCACTGTTCGGGTTCGTTCTGCCACCCGCAAGCAATGATGACATTGCACCAAAGATAGAAGGGCAGAATGTGGTGCATGATCAAGAAACGGAAGCCATTTCCGACCGCTTGACCTCCATAGGTCGTTCCAAAGGCATTCCGGACATCAATCTCCCCCCTTTGCGCCAAAGACAGCAAAAGCAGCACATCGTCCGGCTCCGCCTCAGGCCTGGGCGTCTCCAAGAACTCGTAGCGGTTGGTTTCGCTCAAGAGTGCCCAAAAAAGGTCATGCTGTGGTCTATAGATCTCTTGGCCTGCGTGGAACTTCACCAAAGTTTCCTCCAGGTACTCCGGCGCAGGCAAGGCGTGGCCGCGGATGCGCTCAGCGGGGTACTTCGCGATCTCCTGAACGGCAAAGTCTTCCATGGCCTTGCTGAAGAGAGCCAGGAAGCGTTCGACCGAGTGAGCTGCAGCGATGGGGTCTTTCAATCGACCGCGGTCTCTTCTATCACCGATGCGAAAGACCTCCTTCTTGCCCTTCCCTGCAGGTCTGCAAAACGTCTTCTTACTTGTTGTCGAGCAACTCAGATCGTTGCAAACCATCTCCTCAGTGAGATACTTTCGATGTTGCACTTGAAGGCGCACTTCCGCGGTGCGGGCATGAATGAGTCCACATGCACCTTCGGGCACCCAATCTCAAACCCCCTATGATCTTTGACGCAAGTGCTCCCTCAAATAGAAGCGTTGCCCTCAAGTATGCCCAAGCTAATCTGCACGAATTTGCTCTCTAGTTTGGGGCGTGTCCGAGTTCAAATTCAAAGGCTGTTCGACAGAAGACATCTTACCACTTGAATTTGGGACCATGCGCCTGATGGCAGCACAATCTCGCTGCCATCACCCTGCTTGAAAGCATGCAAGAGATCGTGCCAGGGAAGCACATGACGCAAGTGTGGGTCGCTCATCGGGCGCCCAGGCCGGCCGTCAAGAACAAGCTGGCCACCCTGGAAGTCGGTGAGGCTCAAACGGCTGCGCTGGAGTCGTGAATACCGAGATGTGGCTAAACGAGAGTGCCCTTGGCAGCGGAATTCCCTGAACGTCTCAGACCTGAGGACGCAGCATGATGGGCAGGTGTTCAGAAGGGAAGGCGGTGTAATGGAAGTCTATGTCCGCAACTATATGTCAGCCCACTGCTGGAAGTCGGCGACCACGCTAGTGGCAAGCGTGAATTCAGGTATCAAGATATCGTAAGCGTGGGCTACTGTGGGCTACACAGGGATTCGGGCCCGTAGAAAGTGAAACTCCGAATCAACCCCAGGTTCTCTCGAGTCAGTGTCAACATTTACCTGTCGTGTGTTGCCCTTCCGCGGGTGACCCAAGCATATGCACGGTGCTCTCGCCACGGGACCATCCTTTTCTCGGCATCCGAGACTTGTCAGCAGGCGGGCGTCGACTCGTGATCGTCGGTCTCTATCTGCGCGCCCAGCCTCACTCGTCATCATCGGCCTTTTCGAGGCTGTGCTCCTGGTCACGCGAACAACCTCGTGTCTCTGAGGGTCCAGTGGTTGTCGCACAACGGAAAGGCCTTCATGTGTTGCAGGTGAGCTTCGTACTGCCAGGTGTCAATGATGTCCTGTCACGTACCGAGACTAGCAGCTGGCGATGCTTAGCACAGGGGAGCGGAAGGTGCACGATCGTGGGCAGTAGTCCTGCATCTCTTGTCGACTGTAGTGCTCGGCCTAGCACCAGAGAACATCCCAATGGAAGTGCAAGGTTTTAGGGAACCAATGCTGTGTCTCCGCATACATCCGCGAACAGGATACACTGAGGCGGCGGCCAAGAAGCGCTTCTTGCGCCCGTCAACAAGCTCGACATCTACAACGGCAGGCGCGTCATAACCTCAAAAACTCTGCCCTGAGATCTCATTCTTCAGAGTTCGGGAAAAGGATGAAGATGGATGAAGAGGGATGAAGAGGGATGAAGAGGGATGAAAATGGATGAAAATGGGTGAAGATGGATGAAGATGGATGAAAGATGGATGAAGATGGATGAAGTATGCTGGCTGAGAAAACTGAGCCCCGTACCGAGCAACTCCCAGCTGGCCTTCTCAGGATCAGCAATAGAAATACATTGCAAGACATTGCAACAGTTTTGGGGGACATGATGGGGGGGGGGGGGCCCTTACAGCAACACGACAAGCACATGCCGAGGCTTGTGGGTGCCTTCAACTCAGTCTACTTCGCTTCGAATCGCGAGTTTTTCTCCCTCTCGGCAGGCCAACACTGCCACGAAGTTGCACGAAGTTATTCCTGCACCATGTTCTTGGTGCTGCTACTAACTCATCCAAATACCCAGAGGACACTAATTCTCAGAAACTACCACACGCATTGATGCCTACAGGATATCAGACTTGGAGGAAGTTGGGGAGATGAGCTCGGCTTACAACACAAGGATTCTCTTCACGTGCCTGTAGGTTGGGGAACTTCTTCTTCGTACTCCTGCAGAAAGAGGAAAATGCACACAAGTTACAAGCCCTTCGCAACAAAGAGATGTACGCATGCACACTGCGGCAGGTGATCAGCTTAACTGCTGTGTTGACACCACTGAGGGTCGAGCTCTGCAGTCATGTGCAGAATCAGGCGCCTGCAACGGCTGCAAAAGCGTCTACAGTCTACAACAGACCATTCTGCCAGACTTTCTTTTCACAAGCCGCTAACGGGGTGGGCGGGGAGAACTGAAGGTTGGCATGAAGAAAGAGCTTGTCCAGAGAGGCAACAGGCTCTCGAGTTCTTGAGTCTCCACGGTGTTGCGGGGCCTTGCCACCTCCGTCCTCTCTCGGCCAGGGTGGTAGGCAACATGTATCCTGCGACAAGACTAGCAAGGCCGACACGTTCCTCCAGTGGCTGCTGAGCAACAAATCGCCTCTTTAAGTAGGCGAGGAAGTCCAGAGCAGGGAAGAGCTTGTACCTGAAGGAGCATGGTGCTGCCCACCTGACCCCGAACTCACCACTTAAGGCGACAAGGACTGACTGTCTTCGTGCACGTCCATGCCAGAACACATCAGGCTGCGAAGAGACCGGCGCACTTCATCCCTCTCCGCGCTTCTCCCAAAGCAGGGGCCACACAACCTGATCTGAGTTCCCAGGCTAGTTCCTAATCAACCTCGGTATTGTGGTAGAGATTGCCATGCACTTCCGAGCTGCCGGCGTGGGGCCCACGTGAGAGCGGCACCGAAGCGCGCCATCTTCGTGCCCGGGCAAGATCTCGTGTCAATGTCAATGAGTAAGTAAGCTTGCATGGCTGCATACGAGTCAGTTTGCGCCGGCTAGTCAGTCAGCTTGTGAAGTGCGAAGTGTGGGTTGGGTTCTGGATGGTTCACCCGCTCGGTCGTTGGAAGAACGAACATGGCGCCGTCTGAGCTTCTCTTGTGTCACGCTTAGGCCACACATGTCAATACATTAAATGGACTGTCAAGCCAAGCTGAGTATGCTGAAAAGCTGCGATGTGTATTCGGAAACTTGGTCAAGTCTGGGCAGCTGGGCTGCTATTCCGCGCATTTTGTGTGCTACCCTCTGGCGGCTTCATGCAAGTCCAGCCGGAACCGGCTCGAGTTCACGAAGTTTCCGCGATGGAACGAAACACGGAAGGAAACTCTGAAACACTCTTGCAGTTCCAGCATGCTGAGACCATTGAGACCGTGCGTGTGACTTCGACGTTGCTATCCATACAGTCATGTCTTGCGGATTCTGAAAACGTCGCGGTGTCTTAGCACGTCTCAGCAAGCAGCAGTCCGGTGCAACTTGGCACGATTGAAAGCGCTGCTGAAGTTTCCCAGAGAGAACAAGGCCACTGAATCACTGGCTCGCCCAGTCGGTGGCCCCTTGCTCTGACTAGCTCGTCCCGCAAAGCTTCGGCGCTTGCCAGGCCCGGCTATGGACGCCAACCGAAACATCTTTCCTTGGCACTGGCATCACTGCACGCAGACGGTGCCGTCCGTAGCCTGACCAAACCAAGGCGGCTCATCTTCTTCAGGGTGTGCTATGCAAACTTCTGACAGCCAAGTTTCCCAGGGCTGTCAAGGCTCAGCAAACTGAGGCTGTGCATCCACGCCTCTCTCCTCTCCACCACCGTGGCTTGCCTGAACCAGCATGGATGGCATCTACCGATCACAACTTGTGATACATTGTTGGTCTGTGCAGCTCTCCTGAATTCTTAACCTCCTCGAGTGGAAGCTGAAAGTGGGTAGAGCAGCTTGCCCTTCTAGAGAGTAGCTTCCGAACTTGCTAGACACCAGATCTTCAGCTAGGACACCCCGTTCCCTGATCCCACAGCTGCAAGCATGTAGGAGAATTCGGCCGAGTTGCTTCCGGAGCTTGCGCACCTTCGGTAGCAAACTTACGAAGGCAATGTCGGATGCTAGCTTGCTTCTGAACCAATGCACGGCACCACTTGAGAAGGCAAGGCATTACACGCGGAAAACAGCTATATTCACGTGTGTCTTACAAGTTCAGGCCATTGTGATGCCGCCTTTCGAGCACTCCCAGGCCGAGCAGTCAGCGTGGCTTCGCCTTCCTGGCACGCTGCAGGCTTCGACTGTTGCCCCAACTCAGGCGGGCCAAGTCCGCATTATGCTCAACGCTGGGCCGCTGAACTACGACCGACTGAGGAACAGCCAAAAAGCCTGTAGTTACCGAAGTGTGTAGGGGTGCAATCAATAAAGCAATTCTACCTGTCAAAGCAGCTGGCACCACCGTGCAACTCAGTCGGTTCATCCTTTGTGTGGGTTCCGTGGGGCTCCCCTCATGCGACCTGCAGCTGTTCATCTCCTCTGCGCCAGTGGCGCTTCTTCGCTGCCACAGAGAGCTTCCCCTGCACGAGATGCAAGTGGCAGCTAACAAGAATCTTCAGACTGCGCACGTCGAGCACCAGGCATGCAAACACATGAAGATCGAAACGAAAGCGCCGAGAGAAATGCATGTCTATGGGTTCGCAAGGCACTCGATGCGAAAACGGCGCAGGAGCTGGGGAGCAGCTTCTATCAAGCACGAGAGACCTGACGTGTCCCTCCTGTGATCCATGCAGCCTGCCTCTGTTGCTATTGTCAGCATTGCCAGCTGACCCTTTGAGAGCTGTGACCTGCCCATGGTGCAGGAAACAGGTAAGCACTCTATCTGCCGGAGCAGAATGCCCCAGCTTTCAAACATGTCTTCTCTCAAGGTTCTCCTATTCCACTTCTGACAGATGTGTTTTGAGGGGACGGGCCGTGCTGCACTGAGCGTGCCTCTTCGGTCGGCGCATCTCAGGGCCAGATTTCACAGTGCCTGCATGGCGCATTGGGTGCATTTCTGGGCTTCCATGTGGCAAGCCGAGAAGAAACCTGGATCTGTGCGTACAGAGAACTCTGAATTCTGCATGGCAGCCAGCATGAGAGTCAGCCAGATTCAGTGTCAAAGCACATCCTCTTTTACGCTCGCGACTGCGGGTGATCATGTCCCAGCTCTTCGGCCTACTGACCATGTCACTCTCTTTGTTCTCGTCCTCACCACGACCGAGTTGCTTCTCCCCGCAGCTGCGGCAGTCTTGCCACACACAGTTCGGCCACCCTTCATGCAAGACACGCGCATATCTCGCGTACTTCACCACCGTGGAGGGCGTCTTGCGAAACTGCAAAGAGGCATATGAATCTGGTCATGGGAGGGGCCTTGAACCTCCTAGCCTCCTGGGATTCGACCCAATCGCGCTCGTCCGCGGGCAGCGCCGGGACTACGGCAGGGTCCCTCCCCCCAAGGCCGTGGGATCGGTCGTCCATGTGCATCATGCCCCTTGACATCTCTCGACTGACAGACTTCTGCAGCTTGCTAACGCTTTTGCCGCTTCGCCGCCCTCTTTGTAGGGAGCGCCGGCAGCAGCGCATGCAACACCTGTGCCGGTACGGGTCAAGGGCGAAAAAGGCATCCGAAGGCATTCATGAGATAAGGCAGCAGGGCACTAAGTTACGAAGGGCTCTGAGAGAGAGAGAGAGAGACAGAAAGAAAGAAAGAAAGAAAGAAAGAGAAAGAGAGAGAGAGAGAGGGAGAGAGACTTAATTCGGTTCGGGTCTCCTCAAGCCGCTGAGGCCCTATAGACCCCACTAAACTGCACAGTTGCACCTTGGTTAAGCCAGACTCTGTGTAAGGTTTCTGCTTCATGCTGCTTGGTACACCCTGGGCCTTCTGCAGCCCGCTGGTGATGCCAGATTTCTGCGCCTCATGCGGCGTAAGCCAGAGCGCATCCCGCGTGCTTTGCGAGCATAGCCCACGATCAGGGAGGCAGCCTCTGAACACGTACATCGTATGATGCTCATGGGAGAAGACCTTGGCTGCCCCCCCAAGCATGACGTCCTTTGAGCACATAGACACTTGGTGATCATAAGCTAGGATGGCCCTAAAAACCCTCTGAAGCATCTTCCTAAATATGGTCCTCTTAAACCCAATAAGGGGAAATACGGAATATCCCAAGGTCCTACCTAAGAAGTATGAGAACGACAACGAGAACATGAACACATGATAGCGGCCTGGGAACATGCTCGATGGGAGCGCTGAGAGGTGTTAGAGTCAGCCCCTGGATCCCGAAGTTCCCCAGCATTTCTTGAAGGTGTAACATCACCTCTGCTGATGCTTCCTGCATCTCCCGCCTCTCCTCCCCTGGAAGTTGAATTGCTGGAAACTCCAGCTGCCCTGCGAGCAGTCCATGCGGTGGTCGCCGTACCAGCATCCAGGCGCCTGACGCGTCAGCGACGGCAGCAAGAGCCAACACTCGTTGACGCCGATGCTTTTGATCATACTTGGCTGGAAAACAAGTCACCGAGGCCACAGTGCCTTCAGCTGCCAACTGGTACGCCTTGCAAGCCCTTTGCAAAGGGCAACGACCACAATGCGGGGCCAGAGGTGTGCAAACAGTGGCCCCCAGTTCCATGAGCGCCTGGTTGAAAGCGGCTGGCTGCTTAGGATCCAGCAAATCTTCGGCCAGCCTCCAACACAGCTTGCACAAGGCCGTCGACTTCGCGTGCCCCTTTAGTGCGGCAATTCGACTGAACACTCGCACTACGTTTCCATCCACAACCGCAGCTGGTTGGTGGAAGGCAATCGACGCAATGGCTCCAGCTGTATACGGGCCAATGCCTGGAATGCGAAGCAGCTCGTGGCAGCTCTGCGGCAGTAGGCCTTTGTGGCAACTTCACAAGCATCTGAGCCTACTCTTCATAGGCAGGTGCTAGGTTTGATGACATGCTCTGAGAAGCAGGGATGTCTCGGAAATAATGCCTACACAAGGTGAGAACAAGGGTCAAGGAGGAACAGCCGGCCTCCATGCTTCTTGATGACATGCTGGGCACCCTCGTGCAAGCGCCTGGCTCGTCCATAGTAGCCCAGGCCCGCCCAAGCAGCGTTGACTTCATCGGCGCTGGCCGTGGCCAATGCCTCGATGGTTGGAAATCGCTCCATCCAACGGGTCCAGTAACCGATGACGACTTCCACCTGTGTCTGTTGGAGCATAACTTCCGACACCCACACCCCGTAGGCGCTCTGTGGGAAGCTCCTTGCAGCTTGCGAAGGAACATCTTCGGAATCACGGGAGAGCGCGCAGTCTGCCGGAGGACCCTGGCTGATATCCTCGACTGCGGCCGGGAGGGGTGGACACCCAAGCACATCTCATCTCTCGACCCCCAATTGGCACTGCCAACACTGGCTATCAACTCCCACTAGATGGTGGTTTGACTCTTTGATGAAGTATGACCAAAGTCTCTTCCAAGTCAATGATCTGAACCTCACCGCTGTGAGTCCGCGGTGCAGCCTTTAAGCCAAAAAAACTCGACAAGGACCGCTGCTTGGGCATGCATGGCTTCTGCTCCACCCTAGCTTCAGATCTCAGCTTGGCCTTGCTTTCGCTCCATGGAGGTGGGTCGCCCCGCCAGGGAAGACGGCGCCGTGCGTGGGCATACCAAGTCAGGAGTGCCTCCCGTATTTCCTCAAGCTTGCTGCCGGACCAGCCTGCAAAGCCCTCAACTTCTTCCGGAACCGCGGCTTCCTCCTCTTCTTCCACCTCCTCCACCTCCACCTCCAGCTCCACCTCTGGCATCTCGCTTGGCTAAAGGGGTCCTCTCCTCCAATCACAGCCCTTGCATCGAAGTGGCCACCGTTTCTCGCAATGCACGGGGAGCGTGGCGAGGTCACTTGCTATCTACAACTCTTGCCCAAGACAGTCGCTGGAAACACTAGCAAGTTAAGAGATATCCTGATCAAAGATCAATATCGCATGGAGCTGGACCGATTTGTGCCTGACAATATTTATTCCAGCGCTTTATCTTGAGACAATGACAGCATTGATTCAACGCGCCCAGAAAGGATTCCAAGAGTGCCGTACCCACTATTCCGTATCATACGCTTGTGCGCCTGCGCCAGCACTCCACTCGCCGAGGCTGGGAGGCCCAGCAACCAACAGGCTCAGCCGAGCCAGGCTGCGCAGGCTGCCCAGCTGGGACACGGCCCCACCTCGGCCGAGCTGGAAGCGGCTGCTGTAGCGTGTTTCAGCTTTGCGCATGTTGCAGAGTTGCGGAGCAATGCGAAGCACACCTTCGGAACCATCCTCGGGCACCGGCTGAGTGCATCAGCTACTGAGGTGGCAGCAGAGCCACACAAGCGCGCCACTCCTCCATGGCACAACATGACGCATCGCTTCGGCCATGGCACATCATGTGGTGCATCATGGCACAACCAAGGCTCATGCTGCAACTCCTTCAGCTTGCAAACGCTGGAAACAACACAAAAATCACAATCATCCTGTAGGGGTTTTGAGTCTGACATGGTAGGCCGAGGTCTCCCCATCATGGGCCAGAATGCAAGACGCTTCACCTGCAAGATCGCCGAACGAACACCCTGCCTCGGCACGGCATCGCCGAGAGGCAACCTAACAGACATGCTTCAAGATCTGCCTTTACCGAAGGCTTGCCCGGCCTGGAGCGTACTCGCATTCACAGCAGTGTAGAGCAGTGCACAAGGGATCTCAGCCCGGGACTTCCTCGTGGAAAGTGAGCAGAGCCAAGTCGACTCAGCACGGCCAAAGACCGCGTTGCCCTGCGCAGAGCACAAGCCCAAGACACATGTCGCCCCAAGGTATGCAACCCTTGAAACCGTATTGTGGGATAGAATCCTGCTTATTTGAGGTCAAGCCATCGACGGCAGCCTTGCGCTGAGCCTCCGAATGCTTGTCGTCGCGCTCTTCCACCTCGTCGGAGTGGAAGCCGCGTACGGCGGCTTGCCCTTCTTAAGTGGTCATTTCTCTAAACTAGTGCCTTTTTTTGGGCACCCTAAACAATAGGGGCCGCCTTATGATAAGGAGCCCAAAAGGGACGATATTGTAGAGAAATGACCACGGGATCTTCAGCAGATCCTTGCGACACCCCGTTCCCTGATCCCACAGCTGCAAGCATATTGGAGAACTCGGCCGAGTTGCTTCCGGAGCTTGCGCACCTTCGGTAGCAAACTTACGAAGGCAATGTCGGATGTTGATCTGGCTTCTCAATCAAGACACCGCACCGCTTGAGAAGGCAGGGCATTTCACGCGGAAACAGCTTTATTCAGGGGCGTCTTACAAGTTCAGGCCATTGTGATGCCGCCTTTCGAGCACTCCCAGGCCGAGCAGTCAGCGTGGCTTCGCCTTCCTGGCACGCTGCAGGCTTCGACTGTTGCCCCAGCAGACCGGCCAAGAGGCCTGCAGCTACCCAAGTGGCAATCAACCAGTCGTTCCGCCTGTTGAAGCTACCGGCAGCGTGTGTCTCATAGGGCTCCCGTGGGCTCCCCTCACTCGTCCTGCAGCTGCTCTCCTCTGTGCCAGTGGCGCTTCTTCGCTGCCGCAGAGAGCTGCCCCTGCACGGCCGAGATGTAAGCCGCAGCGGCAGCTAACAAGCATCTTCAGGTTGCGCGCAGTTCAGAAGAAAGACAAAAAAAGGATTCATCAGTACCAGGCGTGTGAAGATGGAAACGAAAAGGCCGAGAGAAAATGTGATTCTGTGGTTCGGGTCTGCGAGGCACGAGAGGCGGCAATGGTGCATGAGCTGGGGAGCAGCTTCTTCGCATCAAACGCAGGCGACCTCACGTGTCCCTCCTGCGATCGATATGGCCTGCCTCTGCCGCTCTTGTCAGCTGTGCTAGCTGACCCTTGGAGAGCTGCGACCTTCAGCAAACAGTAAACAAATCACAGCTTCTGGCGAAACACCCCCGCAGCTGATGTGCTTTGACTTCTGCTAGGAACCTGTGATTTGTGCTATGCTCCATGGCAGAGGGATTTGCCGATCAACAATGATGGGGCCTTGTCCTTTAGATCTTCGGCATCCGGGGAGGGGGAGGTGGGGAGGGAGAAGGGAAGGTGAGACGGAGGGGGAGGGGAGGGAGGGAGGGGAAGAGGGGGAGGGGAGCGGGGGAGGGGAGGGGGGGAGGGGAGGGGGAGCAAGGAGGGGGAGGGGAAGGGGGGAGGGGCCATGGGCGGAATCTTTGAAGGGCTTCTACTTTGGGGGAGTGTAAGAGTGTACCATATCTTACAAAACTCCCACGTCCATGGTCTTTCATCTGGAGTGTATGTGTACCCTGACTCGCAAAGCTCGTCCACAGTCTTTCATCTCTTCCTGGTCCCTGCACTGCCCCTCTTTTCGATTCACCCCTTCGTATCTTCTCAATCCAGGCCTCATCCTTTCAAACTCTTCCTGAGTTTTTTCTATATCTTCCTAATCATTGCTCAACCTTTTCTTTCCTTCTTGGCGATGCTTCACCCCTTCTTCATTCTTCTAGAGCCTCTTGACTCCCCACCCACCCTTCCTTTGCGTCTCATCTTTTCTCGGTCGCTTCTAACCCTTTCTTCTAACCCTTTCTACGGACAGAACCCAAAGATGCAAAAGGTCGCACAAGTCAGACAAGTCATCTATCTATCGCAGGATGTGGTACGAGCCCGGCTCCTCATGCCATCCTCTCAGTTCTACTGTGACAAGGGAGTTTTTTGAGGGCCCAGTGCTCGTGCCTCTTCGGCCGGTGAATCTGAGAGGCAGATCCCGCACTGCCTGCACGGCACAGAAGCTGGACTCGACAAAACAAATCTACAATCATCTACAGACTCCTTAGGTTCTTACTCAGTCACAAGGAAGTGCTGCTTAATCCATCATGCACCCTCCTGCAAAATTCCTCTCGCGTGCCTGCGCCAGCACTCCTGCCCAGGCTGCCCAGCTGGGATGCGGCGCCACCTAGGCTGAGCTAGTATGCTTGTGTGTGGCGCAGAGTAAGCTGAAACACCTTTGGACCCATCCTCGGGCGCCGGCTGAGTGCATCAGCCACTGAGGTGGCAGCAGAGCCACACAAACGCGCCACTCCTCTATGGCGCAACATGGCAGATCGCTTCAGTGCTTGTCACTAATCAAGCTGGATACTTCAGCCATCCAACAATCCTCCTACTTGTAGATTAAGATGGGTCGGAGATGGCAGGCCGGTCATGCGCTCCTCCCCAAGTTCTGGGATCCGTTGCGGGGCTGGCTGCCGCTCCTGCCGTACGTGCGCCAGAATGACGATTCTGACCCAACACTTGAAACCAAGCCCTGAGCCCTGAACCTGCAAACCTATCAACCTTTGAACCCGTGCTTTGGTGGCACTACATGATTCTCCTTGGCACGGCGAAGAGTGGCTGCCTTGACATGCTCATTGGGATGGGGCTCAGGGTTTAGGGGGGTCTGGGTCTGGGGTTTGGGGTTGGGGTTTAGGGTTGAGAGTTGAGGGTTTAGGGCTTAGGTTGCAACCCCCCCCTCCCCTAGTGCTTTTGACCCCCAACCTCTTTCAGCAACCGCCTTTGTCGCCCCCACCCCCATGCGTTTTGTTGTTGAAAGGTTGAAAACAAATGCTCACAGAGAAAAGGGGGAGGGGGCTATGGGGGGCACCCAAGTACTTATGAAGCTTTAAATCCCCAACCGCATCCGAAACGCTTCAATTCAGGTTTTGTTTTCTAGGGTTTAGGGCTTAGGGGTTAGGGTTCTTGTACTCACGCATCCAGAAGTCCAAAACCCAACTCCACAACCCCAATCACATAAGCCTTTTGCGCTTCATCGCGAATGGGGTGAGGGTGAGATACGCACAAGAGGGTCGCAGAACATGTAGGCCGGCAGGGGAATCTCGCCCTCGTGGGAGGTGGAGTCAACAAAAATTGGTGGGTCAAAAATGTGAACTTTGGTCGGCCGTACTCAAACCCACAGCAGTGTAGAGCAGTGCAGAGGGAGCTTAGGTCGACACTTGCCCGTGGTATTTGCATCGAGCCAAGGCGGTTCAGCATTGCTAAAGACCGTGATGCCCTGCACATGAGGGGCAGGCCCAAGACACATCGCGTCCAACGCATCAAGTGATCTGACCCCCCACCTCGACGGATTCTCGGTTCCTCGTGCTTGGAACCCAACCTGATTGCGATGATTAGGACTATGACTGTCACTTTTGCTGTTGCTTTTACTAGCAGTATCATTGCCAATAGTTACGATCATCACTGCTGTTGCTATTGTTGCAATTACTAACCATATTATTGATCTTGATAATGGTCTTAGTGTACGTACATCTATATATATATATATGTATGTATATGTATGTGTATATATATATATATATATAAGTACTAACATGTATGTATACATATATGTATAGATATATATATATATGGTACCCCCCCCCCCCATATGCCCACACTTTTTCCTGCCTCAGGTACCGTGGCTGCACTTGTCGCATCCGGCGGCACTCAGGGTTCAGGGTTTAGAGGTTTAGGAAAAACTCTGTACTGTCCCAAAACAAAACAATGTTTATCAGCCAGAATGAGCAAAAATGCTGTACTGTCCCAAAAAAACCAATGTTTTTAGGCCAAAACAAGCAAAAATGCTGTACGGTCCCAAAAAAACCAAAAAAACCAAAGTTTGGAGACCTCCAGGGTCTGGAGGAGCCCAAGGTCTCCAAACTTTGGTTTTTTTGGTTTTTTTGGGACAGTACAGCATTTTTGCACTTTTTGCCTTGAAAAGATTGGTTTTTTTGGGACAGTACAGCACTTTCGAGGCCTGGGACTGCAAAAATGCTGTACTGTCCCAAAAAAACCAATGTTTTTAGGCCAAAACAAGCAAAAATGCTGTACTGTCCCAAAAAAACCAAAAAAACCAAAGTTTGGAGACCTGGGGCTCCTCCAGGGCCTGGAGGTCTCCAAACTTTGGTTTTTTTGGTTTTTTTGGGACAGTACAGCATTTTTGCACTTTTTGCCTTGAAAAGATTGGTTTTTTTGGGACAGTACAGCACTTTCGAGGCCTGGGACTGCAAAAATGCTGTACTGTCCCAAAAAAACCAATATTTTTAGGCCAAAACAAGCAAAAATGCTGTACTGTCCCAAAAAAACCAAAAAAACCAAAGTTTGGAGACCTGGGGCTCCTCCAGGGCCTGGAGGTCTCCAAACTTTGGTTTTTTTGGTTTTTTTGGGACAGTACAGCATTTTTGCACTTTTTGCCTTGAAAAGATTGGTTTTTTTGGGACAGTACAGCACTTTCGAGGCCTGGGACTGCAAAAATGCTGTACTGTCCCAAAAAAACCAATATTTTTAGGCCAAAACAAGCAAAAATGCTGTACTGTCCCAAAAAAACCAAAAAAACCAAAGTTTGGAGACCTGGGGCTCCTCCAGGGCCTGGAGGTCTCCAAACTTTGGTTTTTTTGGTTTTTTTGGGACAGTACAGCATTTTTGCACTTTTTGCCTTAAAAAGATTGGTTTTTTTGGGACAGTACAGCATTTTTTGCATTTTTTGGCTTAAAAAGCTTGCTTTTTTTGGGACAGTACAGCGTTTTCGCAACTAAGCTCTAATGTTTCATGGCATGCCTGATGCTACGACGAGCATCATGTGCACATGCTCTTGTTTCATTGCACTTGTTTCATTGCACTTGCATGAAGAGTGTTTAATCCAGAACAAAACGATTATATTCTATTGCGCGCGTCCTTTCCTCATCAAGCCGAGTTTGTTCCTGAAAACATACCGCGTTCGCATCGTTATCCTGCGAACCACATCGATGGCTTCCGTCCCTCCGCAGAGGCCCATCTCTCTCGCGCAGTCTCTCCATGAGGACCACGATATCCTCGATGGCCCCCTCACGTTCGAAGAGGCAATCGCAAACACGGAGGGCATGAAGGTAATCTTTCTCGACAGGGCCATGGTTGTTCACAAGCCTGTGGGTTCTGTTCAAATTGGGGATTTACCTGCAAAAGACGAAATTCAAGATTCAGTGAAGAAGCGGGTGCAGTTCTTGGATGTCGTACTTGACTACGAAGGGGACCTCGATCTCAAGGAAATTGAAACCATGTTTCTTCAGCAAAGGTACCAGGACCTCCCAGCTCCTATCAAAATGAAGGGAAACAACGTCTTGCCGTACAGCATGCAACTGTTTATCCTGAAGACCGGCGACAGGAAGTGGAACATCGTCAAGCATGTGCGGTTTGCCGAAGGCACCAAGGTCATATCGTCTGCTATCATGTCCATGTGCACGGGAAGACCTCTGGAAATTGACTACCAAAAAAACTTTCGTGAGGGTAGCCGAGCTCTTCAGTACATGCTGGAGGGTCTGGGCGGATTCCAAGTTCGCTATTGCAAGCTGGTTCCCATGAATGCAAGCAACAAGCCATCAAGGGAAACAGATGACATCAGAGCAGGCTTTCAATTCATCAAGGCCAACGGCCCCACAGAGAACGACGACGGCCAGTTCACTTCCTGGACGGAGGAGCAAGTGAACGATCCAAACAGCCCCTTGCACAAGTGGGACAGAGGAGTCATCAAGGAATTCTTGAGGTGTCAGGCGGACAAAGGGGCACAGGCTGGGACCATCAGGGACTGGCCACTCACACTCGTCGACTTCACACCTTGGGCAATCAACACCGTGTTTGCCCCCATCTTGCCCTATCTCACGGGCCATTCGGTGATCTGGATCGGCAAGTCTGAAGTTGGGAAAAGTCCGGCGTCTTACACTCTGTCGCACCTCATGTCTGCATTCTGGCTTCTTCAGGAAGATCGTACACAAGAAGTTCCAGGCTTCCAGACAGCCAGTCACCTCGACTACTTTCGGAAGGAACGCGGTCGTCGCACCAAACCCCGTGTTTACGATGACGGCAACCTTTATCGTGAACAAGCCGCATCTGTGAAGGCTGTCACGGAAGTGTCAGGCCTGGACAGAAAGACCATGGCCCGATGGAATGCATCGTCGTATGAAAAAGGTCAGCTTTGCCAACTGTGCTCAAACCCCTATGACAGGACAGTTGAGAAACCCATGTCCCCTGGACGAGAATCCGACTCAGTGACGTTCGAAAACTTCTACAAACTCATCCGTCCGTCCTTTCACCGTGAGTTTGACGAGGAAGACTTACTCGCCGTCTTGAAGAGATCATGCGTTGTCGTCTTCACTGACGTGGGCATATATGTCCGTACACCAGGGACAACCCGAGACGCCATCCCACGAACAGCTTGGCCTAGCGAAGACTTCGGCCTAGTCTCTCCATGCTCCCGGTCCACATTTACAGCCTACAAACGCGGCTTTGCTCTTCCACCCAGACCTACTCATCAGGAGAACTTGCAGTGGTCCCTGAATCTCCTACAGGCAGCACTTGACGGTGAGGACGTTCCTCGCTGCTGCACTGTCTTGGGTCGAAAACTAAATGGAGCGAAGTATGTCGAGGAGGTGCGCCCAACACTCGCAGGCATCTCCGCCTCCACAACCTATTTCCCTGAGCAAGAGAATGAGCAAGTCCAGGCAGAGCCGCCAACCAAGCGTTTCAGGTCTGTCAAGTCTTCAAGTGCTCTCCTACAGAATGCGGCTGCGACACGTGAAGAATTAAAAGAGAACACCGAGACGGAAGGTACGAAGGAGGAGGCTGCAGTTCCACCCACCCCAGTTGCTTTCTCTTTATAAGATATTTTGGTTTTTGTGTATATCTATCTGAGCCCTAAGCCCTAAACCATATGTTATATTGATAGAGCTATAAGTAGGTCGAACACATACACGTTTTTCATAAGGTTGCGGTCAAGAAGGAGTGTGTCGATGTCGAAGCAAAGTTCAAGAGTTTCAAACAAGCGCTCGGCAAACGCGTTCTCCGCATCGACATCTCCGACCCTACCCCGCCGCCATCTCCAACAGCTGCAAAGGCATCGTCTGTTGGATCATCTGCAAACTCGTCAGTGCCAAGATCCGCGAAATTATCCCCTTCTCACAAGAAGACACCGCCTCCATCTCCAAAGGCGCCTTCTCTCGCAGCATCTGCCAACTCGCCAAGGCCCAAATCAACATCTGCGATCCCTTCGCCCAAGATGCCATCGTCGTGCTCATCTCCAAAGGCAAACTCGCCAAGGGCAGAGTCTGGTGACGCTATGGATGTGGCTTCAGACATCCCGGATCCCATGGATGACTTGTCCCAGGAGCTTGCCGGTTTCATGGATGATGCCGAGTGAGCATGACTACTTCGTCGTGCCTTGAGCACCTCCTGTCCACGTTTTGTAGCATGTGGTACAGGATGAAATCTTAACTCCTTCATAGCACACCAGGCCATTGATAAGCCTCTAGCTTTTGCCAATCGCGATCTCTGGCGAGCAGCAGCCTTTGGAGCATCAGCTCCGTCTCTGCGAGACTGCACAAAGAGTCCGCCACGCCACTGTGCCTATCGTTTAGCGTCGTGATCCTCTGCAATCCATGAGCTCTGCAGTTTGTTTTTCAAGTAGGCGTCTGTCGTAGTCGTAGTTGTCGTGGGAGCCTTGTAAGCCATGGGCAAGCCCAACCAGAATGTCATCGCCAAGAAGGGTAAGTTGCGTCGGTATGTGCAGAAGCGACCTGCCTGCAAGAAAAGCCAGGAGTGGAAGTCAGTGAAGTACACCCGTGAAAAAACATCAGTGGGACCACGCGGTGTACGCAAAGACCAGATGAAGTGGAAGCGAACACTTCCACAACTACTCAGAGCGGATGAGAAGGGAATCATCAAAATGCTGGTTGCTGACAAACTCCTACCCAATTGGGCGGGAAAGAAGTGCCCACGATGTTCTACTGGAACCTTGTCAAAGCTGTCCGACCTCAAGGGCTATGGTCTGAAGCATCGCTGTAGCGCCCGAAATTGCAGAGCCCGCATCAACCCACACCATCTGCATCCGCTCTTCACCGAATGCCAAGGCCCACAGAAGCAGAGTCTGCAGATGCAAGCTGCCATGCTCCTGCTTAAGTTGCACAGAGTCCCACAAAGCACTATCCATCTGCTGCTTGGCCAAAACCACAAAGCCATTGAGGACATGGACAAGAAGATTTGCAAGCTCCGCCGAGATTTCGTTGAGAGAAAAGAGCGGGACATCATCTTCGGCAACGGCAAGAGTTGGGTAGACATTGAGGCCGACGAAGCCACGTTTGACAAGAGAGACATCTCGCAGACACCCGACCTCAAACACTTGATCGTCAAAAAGGGGGAGACCGTGATGTGGGAACAGTGGGCAGGTGTAGTCCAGAGAGGGCGGCCTGACACACTGGTGCTTCACAAGCTCACGCCAAAGTTGACAGTCAAGCGTGCGCCGGGTCCTGGAGCTATCAGGAAAACGGAGTGGACCACTCTTGGGACGAAGTTGCTACAAGATAGGCACGTGATCTTGCACACCGACTCCGCCAAGTCATACAAGGCGAAGATCTCTGGCGTTCTCCATGACCGCGTCATCCACTGTAAAAAACGCGTCAAAAGGAACGGCAAGTGGATCTGGCTTGCCCCCAAGTACACCAGCATAGTGAAGCACAAGATCCCCAACACGAAGGGCAAGTACCTGAAGACAAAATCGGGCACGCAGATAATTGATCGATGCTGGAGGTTCCTGAAGGACCGCCTCATCCTCAATCAGCACACCAGATCTAACAGTGCGCTGTTGCGGGCAAAGCTTCGCTCCGCGCAGTACGAGTACTGGTTTAAAAATTCAGATCACTGGGTCGGCTGCGGCAGCCTATGCGCCGAGCACATGCGTAAGTTCGCACACACGTGAGCTTCTTTTCGGCGTCCACTCGCCATCATCCTCAAGCGTCTCCGTAGTTGGGGTCTGCTGCCAGTTTTTGCTTGGAGTAGTTAGTTACTTGTTGTGCTTATACTCGAGGTTAAGTAACGAATCAAGTAGTCCCCAGTTTTGCTGCTGAGAGACAATTTTGAAGCAAAGCCTGTGTGAGTGACCCTCGCAGTCAAAGAAATGAGCAGGAAGATTATTAAAAAGTAGGATTTATATCTAGAAATCATGCTAAAACGTGGGCGCATGGGGGGGGGGTAGCATATATATATATATATATATATATATTCAGAATACTCATAGAAATTCATACCAATTCTTGCTATTATTCTCTCTTGTTATGAATTGGCTGAACGTGGCTCAACAAATGGCTCAACCTGGTTGACTCATGGCAGGGCCTGAAACTCCTGGCCGAGTATCGACAGCTGGCCGGATCCAGGCACCTTGACGCCCATGACTTCCCGAAGCAGTGGCCAGATAATGTTGGGAGGAGCAAAGTATGAACCCCAAGGATGCTTGCCACACCTGAGCACGGAGCCCAGGGTATGTTGGATGGACGCCAAGCCTCCCGACGGTGCGCCTGGGCACGTTTTTCTGCGCTGGCTTCACTAGGCACTCCCACCTGCTGCTTGGAGGTTCATGGTACTCATTAACCAATTTTTACTGTACTTATAACTGTACTCATAACCATATTCGGGCACTTAAAGGGCTTATAAGTGGGTGAGAAGTACAGTTATAATTGGTTAACAAGCACCACGAACCTCCACGTAGTCATCAAGCCAGGAATGATCCCTCCTCTCACCTTCCGAGCCTCGTTTCGGTTTGCTGAGAGGTCTCGGACATACCTTGGACATCCAAGACAAGTCTTGAGCTTGAACGGACTATAGCCTTTTAGCTGACAAGACTTGCCTGTTGCCCTTTTTTGCCCGGCACTAAACTTTGCTGCGCCTGTTGAAAGCTTGCGGATCTCGAGGTGTCTAACTATGTTCGATCTCACGCCCTGTTCCTATTCGCACACGCCTTGTTTCAAGACTTGCTCTCATTATGCACCGGATTATCGTTCATCACCCTCACAGACCTGCACGAAACATTATACATGCATGTAACATACATAATGTATAGATATACATAAAGAGAGGGAGATGCATATCTGCGTATTTTATCATGTAGAATACATGATATATCAACCAAAACAGGTTATGTTATGGAAAGATCACATACTGTATATGGCAATACATACATACATACGTACGTACAAACACACATACATACATATATACATACATGTTATAGTAGATCATTATATACATATATATATATACATACATGAATATATAAATATGAGGCATATTGTACCATATATACTAGTATATAATAGTACATTAAATTTGTGTATTGCAGATCATCAACGGCCCTTTCCGAGGCCTTGACTCTTGGAAGCCCTGCACGCGCTCCTGTTCCCAGAGCCGGGTATTCTGCGGAGGTGCTTCCTATTGCTTCCTTCCATGCCATCGAAAATCGTGCTGTGTCCGATACTCGGCAGGATGACGATAGCAGTATGCACTGGTTCAGCGTTCACCTTATACAGGTTCTACATCCTGCCGCGAGCACGACAGGCAGGGCGCACCCAAACCAAGTCGATCTTGTCAGAGAGGAGCAGCCCCAGCTCAACAAACTCCGAAGATCGGGATCTGAGGCACCGCCTGAGCCGCTAATATCACTCGACTGGCATCCGTTTTTTGACGCTGAGACCCCAAAGAAGCTCCGAGGCCGATGCAGCACCACGGTGCTGAGTGTCACCTGAGCAAAGCACGTCTCTGCACAACGTGATGGCAGGACCCGTCTTTGCAGTGGCACCGTCTAAAGGATGTCTGTCTATGTATACGGCCGATGCATGTTTGATTCTACTTGCGTGCGTGAGCCCTTCTGGACTACTCTCTGAATCCAATTCCACCAGGGTGCAAAGAGGAGCAGCAGCAGCGCGAAGCGGCTAAGGTTGCCCATTGCCTCCCCGATTGGATGAACGTCGAACGGTTTTTCTTGCTGGGGAGTAAGAGGCGTAGCTGACCTCAGGATTGGCCTTGCTCTTTATCCCATGTCTGGTACGAGTAGCCGAAACTCGCCTAATTTATATATTGCTGTGCTACAATGAATCCGACTTAAACCCGAGCTTCTAGCTAAAACCCTAAACCCTAAACCCTAAACCTTAAACCCTAAACCCCAGTTCTGCCGAACAGGAGTCCTTACTTGTCATGGAGGGGCCGAAAGCCCTTGGGCCTTCCTGCCGCTCTCAAGCCTTTCCATGTTCCCCCTTATACGAACAGGGATTCTAAAAGGGGGGACTATGAAGCCGATTAAGGACTGTGAGTATAGGGGCGAACATCCCAACGGAGCATGCTGAAAAACTGAAATGTCCGCGCAGGTCGCGCAACACAACCTGCTGATGCCGGTCACGCTGGGATGAAGCAGAGTGCTGCTGAGAGCTGATGTGGACAAGTCCGTCCAAGGTGCGTTCAGCCTGGCCTCTGGCCTAATTTCTGGTTGATGAAGATAAGTGAGTGCCATTGTGTGCTGAAGAATCTTTTGAAAGCTGGGACAAACAAGTGCACCAACGAAAAAGTGAAAACTTATCATGATGCGTAGCTTGTGAGCTGTCTGCCGGCTAGCCCGTAGTCATTAAGACCCTCTCTGACCATGTCAGTCATCAAAGGAGCTTCCCAAAGGCTCACAAAAAGCTGTGGAATGCTGTGACAGGTCCATCGCGTCTTGGTATCGCCTCAAGCGCAAGCACCGCCATCATCGCTCGTTGCAGCACAGGCCGCCGTGGCGTTGGCACTACATCCTTGGGAGATCAGAAGTTGACACACCGTGTCATAAGCTGCCAGACAGCTCAGGCTTGGTCTCAGGTCCGAGACGAAGATTGTTCACATGCTGCTTGACAAGGCTGAGCTCGCCTATGGCTAGCTCATCCCCAACAGCATCAGGCCCGGGCCAGCAGATGGCGCGAGGCATCCAGCAACGGCCGGGCAAGGCGACAAGCGCACGGCAGGAAGTCAAGCCACCTGGAGGATGCGCCACGTTCTTGCCATGCTTTATCCATGTTTTGGCACGTTGAGTTAGCATGGTTTTGAGTGGAGGCTCAATGAAGCCCTACATACGTCTAGTGCAGGAGCGCAGAAGACCACATCATGCCAGACTCAGATGTTCACTCCGTCGTGCCGTCTCGCTTCCATGGAATTCGGGCCCCTGCCGGGTCGCGACCACAACAGCAACCTCTGCACGGGTTAGGAATTCAAAACATGTCGAAACAATCTCCAAGAAAGAGGTGCCAGGGCAGCGGCCGCGATGGCAACACCGGGCTGTCGGAGGAGAGCCTAGCACGGCACGTGGCATAGACTCCTCAATCCTGCCCTCAGAAAGACATCAGCCTCGCAATCTTGTCGTGCAGACTCGGTGTAGACAGGCATTTGGGTATGGCGCTTCACAGCATACAAGTTGCTTTTCTGTCTCAGTGAGCCAGTGAGGCTGCAAAGCCGTCCAACCCAGCCGCATCACGACGCAGGTCAGATTGCCCATCCTCGGTTCGGTGCTCAATTCAAGTGCCTGCTCAGGTGGCCAACAAGAATATAGTAGAATATCACAGAATGTATTGGAATATAATGAAAATATAATGGAATATAATAGAATATAATATAATGGAATACACCTACGTCTTGGCATAAGGTCCCATGTCTGGTGGCTCTGGACATGCGATACGGGCAAGCATCTTATTGCAGCGTGACAGCTTCCGTACCGGTCAAGATGTCTCGCACCCTGTGCTGGTCAATATGTGCAAGACAAGTAGCGCGCCACGCTTCCTCGCAGCAAGCGTCAATGCCTGACCTTACCAGCATCCCTCGCCCGAGCAGAAGCTGCTGCGGCCCCACCCCTAAGTCAGAATGCCGCTTCATCTTCCCCAAGGACTTCAGCTCTTACCAGGACAGGAAGCCCCCGAATCCTGCTCTTTTGTTGCTGCCAATCAATCTTGGAGCCGCGCTGACAGCCACGGGGTCCTTTCCCTGCAAAAATTGCTCTTTGCAGATGTCCCCGATGTCCTGGTTCTTGAGCTTGGACGTCACCTGCAAAGCCGGCCAACCGTACCCTTTTCCTACCCATTCAGACCCATTCAGGGTTTAGGGTTTAGGGTTTAGGGTTTAGGGCTTAGGGTTTAGGGTATAGGGTTAACGAGTTCACTCAGTTGGGGCATGGGAAACAGGAGGCGGAGGGGGGAAGGCTTGCTTGTTTGGAGGGGGGGTCCATTCGTAGCGCGGTCATGCCTCTCTATCAATGAAGGAGCCTGCGTCTTTCAAAATCTCAAAATGTTTCTCAAACTTCTTGAAGTCTAAAGAACATAGTTGAAGATTCTTCTGTACCAAGACCCGCAGTCGCAAGCACCCGTTCAAATTGCGAGCAGACCTGGGACTACCCTTGTTCCACGCAAAACCTGCCTGCACCGTGCCGAAACAGTAGCTGCACCATGCATATATATATATATATATATATATATATATATATATGCTGACTCATGAATATACGGATAATGGAAAATATACTAATCATGCTGCAACTATATAATATAATATCTATATATATATATATGTTTATTTATCTATACTTATCTTTATATTTATATTTCTACTTATATTTCTACTTATATTTATATTTATATTTATATTTATATTTGTATTTATATCTATATTTATTTTTATATTTAGATTTATATCTATATCGTGCTTATACCAATACAGAGGCTGAAGACCTAGTACGACTCACTAAGTCTCTAAGTCGCCGCTCTTGGACCATCCCACTGCCTCCCTTCGCTTTCGAAGAAACGTCGCAACTGCCCCGCAAGGTCTTGGTTTTGGGGCTTAGGATTGAGGGATTAGCGCAGTTTAGGGTTTGGGGCTTAGGATTGAGGGAGTAGCGCAGTTTAGGGTTTGGGGACGTTTGGGGCTTAGGATCGAGGGTTTAGGGCCCGGGGTTTGGGGTTAAGTTATTGCAAACCATGGCCTTGATGGTAGACACCCAACCCTTCAACGTGCAACCCAGCAGTCTAGATGCCTCCATCACCATCTACTTTTCGGACCAATGAGGCAAAGCGAAGATGATGCGTGTGGTGCCTGTTCCTATCCCGCCCCTCCCTCAGCTTGGCCTTGCTGCACACCAGAACGATGGCCCAGTCCTCGCATGCAAAGATACTGCCAGCTTCTCAGGAACATCTTGAGCAAGGGCTTTGCTATGGTGCGCAAGTGTTACGAAGGGCTGGGCTGGGACATCACCTTGAGTCGTGGAGACTTACTGCACGCCACAAGCTCAAGACGCTTCTCCTCCGGGCTCAGCGTTCGGACTAGAACCTCTGCCTCACATGTCACCTTAGAGGCCATTCAATCTGGTCACTTCTCTCAATTGTGGTCCCTTTTGGGGTACCCGCATGATAACCGCAAAAGGGGCCGTAATTTAGAGACCATATGTATTGAGTAGAACTTGTTTCTTGCAGCCGCCTCCCGGACCATTCGGTGGTTGCACATGATCCACCTGGCAACCACATCTTGCACCTTCGGCTCTTACAGATTCTTAGGCCGGCGGGCCGCATGCACCGTTTCAAGAGCCTCCCCAAAGCCTAAACCCTAAACCCCAAACCCCAAGCCCTAAACCCCTCCAGAGCAGTGCTGGATACCGCTTTCGTGCGTCTTCAGCCAGGCAAGCCCCTCCACCACAGAAGGTTGAAGCCGTTCCAAAAGCATCCCACTATGCAATACTCTAGTCATGTAAACATACATGATACAATAGTAGAAGCATATAATAACATCATAGTACAATGATACAATCATACAAGAATACAAGACAACAATAGTACCAAAACGCAATAGTACAATACCACCAGAACACAATCATATTTATCAATATCATAATACAATAATACAATGGTACGATAATACAATAATACGATAGTACAATAATGAAGCAAAAACATACCATCATACAACAATGTTCTAGTACAAGAATACAACTTGCGAATGACCCGAAACATTTCTTCATAGTGTAATAATCATGTTAACATAGCGACGCAGCTGCATGCTCCTTCCAGCCAAGCGACAATGTTGAAGGGCGCCTTCAACCGAATGTCGCCAAACGACCGCGTCGTGTGCAGCCAGAGCAGGTCGTTGAAAGAGCCTCCATGGCGTGGCGCTACAGGCGTTTTAGGGCTTAGGGTTCAGGGTTTTGGGGTTTAGGGTTCAGGGTTTAGGGTTTAGGGTTTCGGGTTTGGGGTTATGACTCGACCGGTTTACGGTGCAGGGTTGTGTTGGGAATCCTTGCCTGATGACTTCTTTTCTTTGTACTTGTCTCTTCGTCCCACCTGGCCGGAAGAAAAGAAGTCGCACTTCCTGAGCCAACCCCATTTTTTCAGCTCCACACTATCTTCCCCTCTGAAAGGCCAGCTTATCAGAATGCGCTTCGCCTCAGAGAGGAACACTCACCTACAAGCCCTAAACCTTATTCGACGAAACCTGGCTTTGTTGAGAAAGGCACCTTGAGGGTGCCACCGAAGTCGAGAACTTTGCCTCCTGCAGACTTCACCCGGTTGTACTCCTCCTTCCTGCACGGCGACATGCGAGATCTTCGTTGGCGTGCAGGGTTTAGGGCTTCGGGCTCGGGGGGATTCCGACATCAAGGCAGGTCAAGAGATTCAAGATGCTGTGGTGCCAGCTTCAATGGGCTTCTGATATCGGACATCGCAGCAAAGTGAGCTCGCATGACACATCCACAGGGTGCTTGGCCTGATACAACCTATAGCTCAAGCCCAGCTTGTGAGGCTTTCAGAAGAGTGCTCAAAGGCAGCCTCGATGGAACGTGGTCGTGCGAAAGGGCCAAGACCTTCCAGGCAATCCAGAAGCTTCAATCCTACAGCGTGCAAGAGCGTCAGCACAACTGTGGATCCGACAAGGTCACGACAACCCATAAATCTACTCGCGCGAGCTTTCCGCATGCTGAGGTTGCCCACTTTGTGGCCATGCAGCAACAGCGCCCGGCTGTCGCCGCACCATGCCTAGAATCTGGCTATGAAGGCTTCTCAACTGTAGCCACAAAAGCACATGGCACCCAGCTCTTCAACATCATTCCCACTGCCAGGGCACCAAGAACAGCTTGGCCTCACCCGCGCAGCCGGGCACGGTTCTCGCACCTTCGCACAGGCTGCAAGCAGTTCTGTCAGACTTGGACATCACTCACGTGGGCACTCGATGACTGGTTCATGGAGCGGCGTTTGCAGAGCAGCTTTCACACGGGCATCTCGAAGGCACCCGCGCATCATTCTTGGACTTTAACAGCTATCAAGCCATCAAGTGAGCCGATCAGACTAGAATCATTTTAATATTGCATCATCGCAGTTTACATTCGCTGGTAGTTCGGGCATGTTGTGGCACTAACACTCATTCGCATCACATAAGAAAAAGCTGAAGCGCCAAGATACTCTGGCTTTCAAAGCCGTGTGCCAGCAACGCAAAAACCGCGGATGTCCTCGTTCTGTGAGCGAAAGGAATGCCTAGACTGCATGAGCAAAACGTGTATTGAGAAGCTACCTTGCTGTTCCTGAAACCCACTCGAAGCCCTCAGACAAAGGATGCATTTCCAAGGTGATAAGTGAGTATGCGAAGTGAATAACAACAATAAGATGACAGGCAAGTTTACGCGCGCTTCATAGGAATATTGTGTGAACGACGTGTGAACGAAGTCATGTCTTTCACCTTCATGTCGTTCACTCCGTTCATGACGCTTCTGCTCAAACCCATGGGTGCAAAAAAAACGCACGCAAGAGCCGTACAGGCATCCAACACAAAAAGTCTCGACCTGCTGCAGCGAGGGCTCCCATCGGTCCAATGGCCTTCAGACGCCACCTTCATCAAGTCCTGCAATACGTCGAACGGACAAGAGCACACCATGGGGGGAGGTGAGCCTTGGCTTGCAATGCTGTGGTGCTCAGCTGCAGACCCTCTCGGCGGCGCGGCAAGCACCTGAGGAGAGCAGAGCTGATCCCTTCGCGATAGTCTGCGTGACCCCCACCTTCCTTTGCCCCAAGACTCGGCCACGGCATCTACGGCAGCCTATGCGAGAAGACTTGTTGCAGGCCTCGAAGCGAGTCTCGAAGGAGCTCTGCCTGCACAAGGACCCCATATGACCCGCCCAAAGCATTAAGTACCGATACCTGATGCAACAAGGGCTGTCCATTGTACAACAATGAATTCCTTACGTGCGGCCTGCTGCAGTACTCGAAAGTATGTCGGAATGCCCCTTCGTTGGGCCAATGGAATCGCTCTCACAGGCCCCCGAGACCCCTTTTCTTGGCCTGATGCTCTCAGCGAACTAGCAAACCTTGAGCTTGAAGACATGAAATAGTCTCGATGGGGACACCAACTCCTCGGAGAGAGTCTTGACCTGCCTCCTGCGCGCCACGAAGCGCCGCCGCTCCTCCTGGCAAACTGCTTCAAACTGTGCTGTCGCGATTCTGAGCCGTCTTCCCTGCCGGCACACTCATGGTCAAAAACATGTGCCAGCGGCGTCTTGCAAGATGACCTGAACATGATCAATTACGGCTGCCGTCCTTTTTGGCTCAGCTCGTAGTTGTAAACATCATGGAGAATGGCGGGAAACCGTTTCGCCACGTGCGCGGAACTGGCACCCCCACAGTGTCCATCCAGGATGCCAATGAGAAAGCCCATGTCCGCTACATCAGCTGCAGAGAGATGGCTCTGGTCTTCGGAACTACCTCCCTGCTTGTCCACACCCACAGTCAAACCATGTTGAACGGTTTCACTCGGGCGTACCGAGATGCAATGCCAGCTGTCGTTTCGTCTGACGGGCATGCAGCGCACACGAGTGCCATGCATCAGGCCGCTGGGAGTCAGCGGAACCACATTTCGATTCATGGCGCCGCCCACAGGTATCGTCATCTCCACACCATCATCAGACAGCACTCGGCCAGTTTGGCGGCGCCCACTGTACCACACCACCATGCCACTGCCGCGAGCAGGATTGCAGCCTTCCTCTGGCAGGTCTGCTTCCGCATCTTTGCCTGGGCGCTGTCGCTTTGCCTGGACTGAGATCCGATGTCGAGGCTGCAAGCACGCAAATAACACTTATAAGACGCTGCAAAACGCTTGGACGAACGTAACCTGACCCGGAAGACTCTGTCAAAGGCCACATTAGGTGTCGGCCAGGAGACCAAGCTCCCTGTCGACGCAGCTGCTCTCTTCATGCTGGCGCGCCATTCGCTCACGAAGGCCGAAGGCTTTTACCTTCCTTACGATGGTTCAATCATCTTGTCCTGCTACACAGCTGCCTGAATGATACGCCGCCTGAGACATGTTGAGAAACACATGCTGCAGCCAGCATGCAGTCAAGATGGTGGTGCACTACAAGCCTAATCTTTCTCTGCACGATAACGGTTTTGGTGCTTGTCGGCATGTAGCAAAGTAGCATTCATGAGGGCTCTTTCCCACGATCTGAGCAGAGCTTCCACTCGGGACGTCCGACAGCAACATGAAAAGCTCGCTACAAGGCACCTTCTTGGCGGTTCAGCGCATGAGCAAAGATGCATGCATCCCGAGAAGCCAGGGGCGTTGCATCTAGGCTGAAGACCAGAAGCAGCACCTGCCGTGCAATGGCACCTCCTCGTGCTGAAGTCTCTGCTTCGTCCCTATTTTTGCTACTTGGCTTAACGGCAGTCTGTAAAACATGAGTAGATCCTACCGTTCCTACTTACGACAATGCCAGCTGACATACTGAAGCGACTTGGCACCACTTTTTTCTCCTCAAGCTTGCGCCGGCACGATGGTCTGCCTTGACTTTGAGCGCCTCTCGATGTCCATGTCGGATTGCCAGCACTGGCGCCAGCTCATGGAAGCCAATGATTACACCACGTCGAAATCGTGCATTGTCAGCTGCACGCTAGAAGCTTATCATGAGCTTCCTGCGGCGCTCTCATGCACCTTGAAGAGGCCTCTCACTAGCATGGCTGGCACTCCTGATGCAAGCATGGCTCAGCAGATCTTTAGCTGCAGTACATGCTAGTCTGGCTTCTGTGCAACAGAGATGATGTGCCTCTCAGGGCCATGTCACCTTCAAGTGTGCCCTAGCCGAGGCACCTCCAACCAGTACTCCTCGATCTCTGCCAACGAAAAGGCTGCGCGGTACTTCTTCATCAACTCGTCGAAGCCTGGCTGCTACAAGAAATCCGCTGATGCTGCAGGCCAGTGACGTCGTCTTGGCAACCATTCACCCAACCCTCTTTCAGAAGGCACGCCCGCAGTGAATCTGGCTCACCAGAAGCGACAAAAGCAACTCTGGGCTTCGGTCTATGCAATCCCAGCCAGGCAGCTGTACGCGCGCCCGTCGTCGGGGTCGCGCCGGCGCTCTGCAGCCTTGCGAGGCGCACCTGTGGAAACAGGCACAGCCCGGCATGCCATCCAATTCGGGTCCAGTTCAGGTTCCGGGTTTGACTTCGTGAAGAAGGAAGGTTCGATTCAGGTAGGGCATCGCTGCGCACCGTCAGAACGGTTGGCGGAAGCTGCTGGCCGCGTGGGTTTGCAATCCTTGCCGGAGGGTGTGCTTCGTGATTGGCCAACAAAGGTGACCAGTCTACTGCAGTCCTGCCCTTCTGACATCTGCTGCGCAGTCGGCCAGCACTTCTCAGAATTCTCAGGATGCCCAATGCGTCCTTGGCCCAGTACTGCGAGAGCTCGCTTTCTGAGAACATGCCGAGGTAGCGCTGCCTGCACTGCACCGCGTGATGCTTCGCACAGCGATTGTGGCACGCGACTACGACTAAGTGTCGACATTCCGACTGCACGTTCTGAAAAATGGGCTGGGCTACTGTAAGCGGCTTCAGATCACAAACCTGCCCCGCTGAAAGTAGATGCTGCCGGGTGCAGTGTAACACCTTTGTCGTTGCAGCATCTCCACTACAATACAACCTACCGCAGCCGCATGCACCCAACTCCTTCGCCCCAGATATCGTGAACTGGAGATCCAGGGATCGGAGGCGCGGCTTGTTCAAGTCCTCCTCAAGACATCTCAAACCTTCCCATGAGAGAAACATTTTGCCCGGAACCGCTGACTGTACAGTCTTCCTTTGTGTGGAAATTGACCTTCTTCGCCGAACGCGCAAAGTCTTTCGCGGCCGATTTCGCGGACTTTCCCGGGTCTCTTTTCCTCCTATTCCAGAGCAACCACAGAGCATACAATCAGCACGCATGGCCCCCCCGAAGGAGGAGGCCCCGGAGGGTGCGCAAGTCCCAGGATGTGTCTCTCCCTCACATGTATGAACAAAAAGTCAAAGAAACGGACATTTGTACAACCCTCAGAGTACACCGTCTTGTCACCTGACACCTAAACCCTAAAAACCAAAAAACAAGAACCCCTAAACCCGAGGGTATACCGGCCTCAGCTCTTCCCAAGTGTACGGCTGGTTGTCATCTGGGTCGATGCGCCGCTCAGCATGATCCTCATGGCTGGTTTGGGGCTTAGGGCCCGTTCTCCTGTGTGCGCCTGCACAACCTCGATGCAGGAAGAATGCTAGTCAACAGAGTGAGCTAGAATTCTGAAGAGCATCGTTGGAACACAACATGTAACAATCAGTCCTGCGCTCGGCGCCTGTCAGGTGGCTGCGATTAGGCCATGACTGTGACAGTGACGGACTAGGAAACAAGGCGACTGCTTATTCTCTCGATTCCAATCGATGGCCCAGAATTCCAACCCAAGTGCAGCATCTGCATAATAAGTACGATACTACCTCACATTCGTTGGACGATGAATCCCTTGATCTGCCTCTGCCGCGCCGCCTCACGCTTGGCGGCCAAAGCCTCCTCGTCCTGGCGCCTCAGTATTCGATTGGGAATGTAGCAAGTACATGTCGCGAGTCCTGCACAGTACTACAGTAGAAATCTGCCGTCGAGCCTTGAGAACTTGGCAAGGAAAGCTAGGGGGGCGGGGAGAGGGGAAGTGGTTTGATAGAGTCGGTTGCGTATGGTCCCCTGAACCTGAGACGCGTTTTACAAGCAAAGTCAGACACCATCCTAGCTTTCATTGGCCAGACGTTGTGATACTTGCGCAACATCAACAACTGCACATCAATGCTAGATGCCACAGGAACAGCGAACACCACTGAAGTCTGACGAAGGGAGCGGCTGCACAAGACGATAGCGAAGAGCCATGCAGAGAAATAGCGCTCACTGTTTATGGTTTGGGCTTCGTATGGTTTAGTCTTTGCATTATTTGATGAAACCGAGTCTAGACAGAAGCTAAACAAAGCCGGGAGGGCACGATTACGAACAGCCTCTATCATTCAACCTCTTGGCAAAAGTCACCATGCTTCTGACAGTTTTTGCAGCTCCCCGTGTCAAGGGCCCGGCTTCTTCTCTGCCAGCGCATCAAGAACAGAAGTCTGCCTGCTGTCCAGCTGAGTTCAGCTTGGGGATCCTAGTTCGAAGCTCTGGAGATAAGGCGCAAAGCCACCCTTGCCCTTGCCATACACATCCCACGCAAACGCCAAAGTCAAGCATCAGCAGGCGCCCTCGCACGCTCGGTTGTCAATTGAACCGCTCCCTGGGCACACAGAAGCCAAAGGGAACTTGCATCACCCCAAACCCTAAACCCTAAACCCTAAACCCTAAACCCTGAACCCTGAACCCTGAACCACTTTTTCAGCTGCTTGCAGTGAGGCGTCTAGAGGTGGTGGACATCGTCCTGCTCGAGAGATTAGACAGGGGGCATGGTCCTTCCCTGCCAAACCAGCCCAAGCAAGATACCTGCTCAGCTGTTCTTCTTTTAAAACGCCGTTTCGGCCAGTGGCTGCGCCACCTCATTCCTAGCCTGGCAGATTGAAGATTAGGCAGGCAAAGTCAAGTGAGTCCGGACACGTCATGCTGCAGAACAAAGATTGAGTAGAGAGTCGTGGCATCAAGTAAGTTGGCGAGATGTGCGTCACATGCCGACTGTGCCCACCCTAGCATCGAAAACTGCCAGTACTTTCAAGTCTTTGCTTGCTCTCTCTCCCTCTCTCGCCACTCAAGCCTGACGACCATCATGCACAAAGCATCCTAAGAAGGCCGAAGCCAGGGTCAGACGTTCCGGCCTGGGCGGTCAGACTATCCAAACAGCAAGCCGTTGAGGAAGTTTCCCCATGCATCCAACATGCTTTCGAGCATCGTGTCGCTGTGCTTGGGCTGCTTCGGCTGCTTGGGCAGCTGATTCTCTAAAGCCGCCACGTCGGGTTCCGCAGGCTTCAAAGGCTTGGCGCCTTGCGCATGGCGCTCCCTCGAGTCGTTGGAACCCTGTGGGTCTGGGGCATCGCGCGCATTACTGGCATCCCGTGCAGCTTTGGCCTCACCAACGGGCCTGGCTGGCTGCGACCTCTCCGACTCTGGTAGTTCCCGCAGTTCCCGCCCTGCCAGTTGCACAAGGCTGCTCAGATCCGGCGTCTCTGACTCTGGCGTCAAGTGGCAAGTCGTCTCACCATGAGCAACCCAGGTAAGCACGAAGATGACCAGGCTCACAGCGCGGCTGATACCCATGAGCACGGTGAGCACGGTGAGCACGGGATGCTGCTACCTGTTGCTACCTGCTATTCGGTGTCAAACAGCCGGGAACTGGCGGTCCACTAAGTCCACTACAATGCCTGCAATGCGTGCTTATGGGTCGTCCGAGTGTTGTGTTTTGCAAGATTCATGTGGTTGGAATTCTGTGAACTTTGTCGCTTTGTGGACGGCAGCATTGAGCATGACAATCAGCCGCAGCTGACCTTGGACAAGACATGATAAGACTTCCTCTCAGATGCAAAAAATGCTGGATGAAGCCGGTTTTCGAATTCAAAAAAGGATTAAATTCAAATTTAAGCCCTCCCTGGGCTGGGCGCAGCCCCCGCGTCCCGACGGTTTAAATTCGAATTAAAACCTCTGAACCAAGCAGCAGCCGCCAGGACCCGCCACGAGAAGGATTTAAATTCGAATTTATGCCCTTTTCTGGGTCATGGCTTAAATTTGAATTTTAACCGTCTTTGGCTGAAGGGTCTACGGGCCCAAGCGCTTCAATTTTTCTGGGTCTGACGGTCTCAGGTGCGGTCTGGGGGTCTGCGGGTCTCGAGGGTCTCAGGGTGGAGGTCGAAGGGTCTAAAGTCGAAAGCGTCCAAGGGTTTGCAGTCTACGGGTTAGGTTGGGTGTCAGGGTGAAGGTCGAAGTGTGTAAAGGGTCAGGTCTACGGGTCTGGGGCACGGGTCATCTAAGGGTCTGACGGTCTGATCTGCTGGGCCCTCGGCTTTAGGGTTCAGGTTGAAGATTCATGGCGACAGGGTTAGGAGGCTTTCGACTTGCATTGGGCCTGGGTCCTTCGGGCTGAAGGCCTTTTCAGCCTCGAGAGGGTTCGGGGGTTTCGGGCGATCGGGCCTCAAACTATCGGGTCTGGGTCTTTGGGTTTCCGGATGAGCGGGCCTTGTGATTTGGGTTCAGGGCCTATTGAGCTGCTGTATCTATTGAGCTGCTGTAGGTCTTAGCTTCAGGGCTTGTCGTTGGCGCGAAGGAATTTCAATTCCGAACCATCGACAACCTAAATCTTACATTCGAATCCAAGCCCGGACAAGTGGAGACTAGAGAGCTGTTAAATTCGAATTTAAACCCGGACAAGAGGAGACTGTACAGCTGTTAAATTCGAATTTAAACCCGGACAAGAGGAGACTGAAGAGCTGTTAAATTCGAATTTGAACCTAGAGGGCAGTCTCAGCTTAAATTCGAATTTTGAAGCCTTGCATGGGTACTGGGCTTAAATTTGAATATAAATCCTGAAAACCCAGGAAGGCTTAAATTCGAATTAAATTCCTTTGTAGGGCGGGGGATGAAGAACATGGAGTTAAATTCGAATTTAAACCTCTACAGCCGAAAAGAATTAAATTCAAATCTAGGCTCTCCAGAGGCGACCCCGAACCCCGTAAGCAGAAGGCTCAAATTCGAATTTAAATCTGATTTGAATTTGAAATCCGTCCATAATCATGCAAAAAATGCCAATCCTCCGTGTGACGACTGTCCTGCAACCTCAGGCTCCAGCTAGTAAGCACACCCAACATAAGACTCCGGTTGTGGGGAAACTCTGTGCACAAAAAGGCCTTGCCATGCTGCAGGCAGCGGCTGCCTTTACGTTGCAATCACTTTTCACAAGTGTCTCCCCCACCTGACCGTCCCCTGATGCCATCTCGACAGCATTCTTCAAAACCGAAAGTCAACGAAGGTGCAAAGCCAGCAGCCTCCTCTGCCCGCCGCGCTGCTGCAGCCCTCAGGCAATGCAAGTCTCCAATCGGTCCGGAAAGTAACAATGAGCCCCCTATAAAAACCCTAAACCCTAAACCCCTCTCAACGCCATGAGATCTACCTTAAGCACGAGGTGCCTGCGGTCTCGGCCAGGATCCGGGTCAAAGCTCCAGGCGCGACCCTCGTTCCTCATGCATGGGGGGCGTACGACGTCCTACTACGAACCCTAAACCCTAAACCATAAGAAGGGTTTAGGGTTTAGGGTTTAGGGTTTAGGGTGTAGGGTTTATGGTTTGGGTTTTGGGTTTAGGGCTTAAGGCTTAGGGCTTAGGGTTTACGGCCCAAAACCAGCCACCCTGGAAGACCCTTTGAAACCCCCTACCCTGGTCCATGGGAACCATGTTCCAAAGAAGAGCCACACATGTCTCACCCGCCCAATGCAAGCTCAAGGGCTCTTTCTTCGCAGATCGTCCCGATGCCAACTTCCAATTTCGGCCTGCGTCCTGAAGCTTCGGCCGCTGAAGTCTTTAAAACCCCTTGTTAGACATTGTTCAATTGGTTTACAAGAACAGGGGGACCCGCCTAGGGGCTCTTTGTCAAGGAATTCTACAAAATTTGGGGGTAGCAGTGGGATACCCTTAATTAATATCGTAAACCCCCAATTGCTTTTCTTCGCTGTCAGCGAAAGGCTTGAAGGTTCTTGGCGAGCGACGGCGACAACGCGTCCCCAAAGCTCGCCCTCAGCGCTGCGAATGTAGGCTCCTTAGGGGGCAAGGAAGCTGCAGCGGTACTTGTACAAGCCGAGGTTGCGGACAAAAAAACATCGATGCTGCAGGCTAGATATAGAAACTTCCTCTTGCGGCAGCTTAGACTCCGATGCCTCGCTCCTTTGGCGGTCCGGCCAGAGCCTTTCAAACATTTGGCAGAAACGGCCGGTTAAACACCATGGTCCGTCATAGAAATATAGACAGCAATCTCCCCACACCCACCCGCAACAGGAAGTTCCAGGAAGCCCTTGCTTGATCCTCTCACTGGTGGGCCGACGAAACGAGGCGAAGTCGTGCTGGAATCCAATGCGACACTCGTCGTGCTGGTCTGCCAAATGTGGGCTCGCACTCGCGCCAACAAAGGTGGGAGTCTTGGATCCGAGGTTGCTCCAGGTTGGCTAAAGACCGATCATCCCCATCTCTACGTGCACACGCAAGGGACACTGAAGGTTGGAGATACCACCACAGCCCCATGCGAGCAAGGAACCTGGGTCATGACATGCAAAGCAACCGGCCCCAACACAGGGCATTCTCGTTTCGCAGCCGCTCCTCCGCTTTGGAAAGCTCAACTCCCGAGGAACCCTGACTCAACTCCAAATAAGGCCAGGGCATACAGCAAATACACAACAGTTGCTGCATCCCTCACTTCAAATCACCCGCAGCATGCCATGCCATGGCCTCAACTTTCGATCCAGGGCCGGGGCCAGACGTCGCGAAGCATTTACACACTCAGAACTTGCTTGTCCAACGGTTTCTCCGCAACGACATCAACATTCCACAACGGCGGGAACATCGGCGGTAACACGCGGGTCCCCCACTCCCACCTCGGCCCGCAGCTCTGCAAGGCTAGGCTCGTCCTGGGACGGGTACTAAGTGGTAGGTAGATTGGGATGCACCCCCTTTTACTAACAGTCCTTCATAAGGATCACAGAAACCCCCCTTATTATAATAGAATCCTCATTAGGACTGTTGGTATAAGGGGGAACATCCCAAGTGGTAGACATGGGTAGACATGGGCTTTGGGATGCTGGATGTCGGAGGAGTGCCGCACACCGGCGAGCCTTCGGAGTCTGCGCAGCCTGCGCTTCGAAGTAGTGGTGTCCACCGCCACCATCTCCACCTGCAAGCTGCGCAAGGACGAACGACGACCTCCAACCAACTCTCCAAGCACACGCTGCTCCAGAATGAGATGAGATGGATGGAAAAGCTGGTGGCCCAGTCTGGACTTTACGCAGGGTCTCGGAACCTCCGGCACGAACGCTCGGCCGCGTGTCGATGTCGGTCCTTCTGGCGGCTGGACCTTCCGTAAAATGGGGCATGTGAAGTTTCACAGTGTGGGGAGGGAGGGAGGGAGGGAGGGAGGGAAAGAAGCGGCCAAAAAAAAAAAACACATTGAGTTTGCATTGGCGAAGCGCTGAGTTGTGCTTTTGCCGGCCCTTTTGTAGCTGATCAAGATGCACATCTTGGGCACACGGATGTTAGATCTGGCTTTACATTTCGACAACCAAGACTTACAGCTGAATCTGTCCACTGGAACTTGTTACTCGGGTAGCTTGACAAAATAACTATACGAGACAAACTAAAACATACAGCTACATCTATCAGTGGTCCGCCCTGGAGCAAACAGGTGCCCAGCAAGTTGCACAGAGCTGGGAAATTGGACGGGGCCGAGATGGAGACAGAGACAGAGATAGAGAGAGAGAGAGAGAGATGGTATCATTCTGAACCATCAGAAAGAGAGAGAGAGATAGAGAGAGAGAGAGAGACAAAGAGCCAGAGAGAGAGAGAGAGAGAAGAAATAAATGAAGTGGAGACTTCCCAAACAAATTCCCTTCACCGGCCTACATGGCTCGGTTCAGCAGGGCGTTCCGCTGGCTCGTCCATTCCTGACTCAAGTCGCACAACGTCTCACACAGCACCCTTTTCAAGTAGAGATGTAGGATATGATGATATCTGATGCAGAGGAACATGATCGCAACCAAACCCTAAACCCTAAACCAACGTGGCGACATAAAAAGCCCTAAACCCCAAACCCCAAACCCTAAACCAACCCTAACCCCTAAGCCAACGTGGCGACAGAAAGCGTCCCAAAGAAAGGACCTCGCCAGGCTGCGGCTCCCGCATTCCGAGCAGAACTTGGCGTGGGGCAGCTGCTGAGCCCCGCAGCTGATGCAGAACCTCCGTTAGAGTTCAGGTTATCCAGGGTTTGGGGTTTGGGGTTTGGGGTGAAGTTTAGGGTTTAGGGTTAGGGTTGAGGGTTGAGGGTTGAGGGTTGAGGGTTGAGGGTTGAGGGTTGAGGGTTGAGGGTTGAGGGTTGAGGGTTGAGGGTTGAGGGTTGAGGGTTGAGGGTTGAGGGTTGAGGGTTGAGGGTTGAGGGTTGAGGGTTGAGGGTTGAGGGTTGAGGGTTGAGGGTTGAGGGTTGAGGGTTGAGGGTTGAGGGTTGAGGGTTGAGGGTTGAGGGTTGAGGGTTGAGGGTTGAGGGTTGAGGGTTGAGGGTTGAGGGTTGAGGGTTGAGGGTTGAGGGTTGAGGGTTGAGGGGGTGGGGTGAGGGTGAGGGTGAGGGTTGAGGGTTGAGGGTTGAGGGTTGAGGGTTGAGGGTTGAGGGTTGAGGGTTGAGGGTTGAGGGTTGAGGGTTGAGGGTTGAGGGTTGAGGGTTGAGGGAGGGTTGAGGGTTGAGGGTTGAGGGTTGAGGGTTGAGGGTTGAGGGTTGAGGGTTGAGGGTTGAGGGTTGAGGGTTGAGGGTTGAGGGTTGAGGGTTGAGGGTTGAGGGTTGAGGGTTGAGGGTTGAGGGTTGAGGGCTTAGGTTGAGGGTTCTTGGGGTCCATTTAGGGTTGAGGGTTGAGGGTGTAGGGTTTGGGCTTCTAGGCTTGTAGGCTTGTAGGGCTTATTGGACTTCTTGGGGTTCATCATTCAGAGATGCATTTTACGGGCAGCTATCTGATATCACACGTGCGCGCCTCCTCCTGTGCTAATTGTGCGAGCTCTTTCCATACAAAAACGCCCTCACTTTCTTCACATGCCAGATGAATTCGGACTATTTTTGAGAGAAGCACACTTGAAACCCTAAACCCTAAAACCCTAAACAACCCTAAACCCTAAACCCTAAGCCCTAAGCCTCTCGCCGACCCTCACTGAACTCGGCCTTCGCTTGGGCGCAGTGGCTGCTGACTTGCCAGCGGCCTTGTGGATCGCAAGCGCTTCTCTGGGCTCTTACGTATCAGAGGTGCATCTCTGGCAGTCCTGGATCATGATAGTGGTGGGGTTTAGGGTTTAGGGGTTAGGGGTTAGGGGTTAGGGTTTAGGGGTTAGGGCTTAGGATTTAGAGTTTAGGGTTAAGGTCTGGAGCTTAGGGTTTAGGGGAGTCTCACAGATGCCACGCCTTCCCAGCCTGTGCACTCGGGGCTGCGTAGCCTCCGCAGAGCTTCAAGTGCAGAGGTGCCCCTGCATCTGCATTCCACATGACAAGGCTGCACATGCCAGAGCTGCCGCCTCCTCTTGAAGCAGCAACCTGAAGCAGGAAGAAAGTTGCGAACTGCAAGCTTAGAAGCGCTTGCACACTGGATCGCACTGGGGCGTACAGGACAATGTCTCGCCGACATGTCAAGCCAGCCCTATGTGAACTCACATGACATGCGAGCTTGAGACACATTTGAGTTCAGGACTGTTGAGGTGACTGACAGAGCGTGCAAATCTGAAGCTCCGGGTGCCTCGAGCACAGGCGCGGCGGCGAGCGCTCGCTCTGCCCCGCAGTCGAAACACAAACGCCGTCCTCCAGAGGGCTGCTGAGGGCATCTTAGGGCTAAGGAATCTGTGGGGGAACCCCGCCGCAGACTTTGCGTGACAGGCTGTGACATATACACCGGGGCCTGTATTTCGGGAGCCACATCTTTCGCACACATCCTGCAACGTGTGGACATCCAGTGAGGAGGACGCTTCAGAAATTCTGTGCAGGGAGCGCATTGAAGGGTCTGACTCGGTCTGCGCGTCACTTGTGTCCTCGCCCGGCGACGATTCGCCCACCGGACTACCTCGCAGCAAAGCACAAGCAACACCACTCAGGCATAGAAGGAAGTACAAGCTCTCCGATGTCGGAAGTACAAGTCTCTACGACTCTACACCTGAGACACTGGGCGTCATGGCTTCGAGTGTGGCTGCTTACCTATCTCACGCACAAATCCAGCGCAACATTTTAAGTCTGCTCTGTAGCGACTCCAAAACAGACATCAAGCCGAGCCAGTACTTGAATTGGGCATGACTGCTGGAAAGCGGCTGAAGTATGGATTTGCTGCGTGGCTCCGTGGCGGTGGGTGGTGACTTCCACCAACATCTCGGTCATCTTCCGCCACACCTTAACCGAATCAGATGTCATCTGAGGAGAAGGAGGTTAAGCCAAAACAGGCGAAATCAACTTACCAGAACCGAGTGGAATCTCAACGAGCTGCTGTCAAAGTAGTGGCCCAAGCCCCCGCGGCCTGCAGCAAGGCTTGCTTGAAAGCTTGAAAGGGAAGGAGGGCCTTGAACAGCTTGGAGGAATGGCTTCTTACTTCTTACGCATTGGATTCATGTGCGTGCAGCCTGATCTCGCCCAGCCGGATAACAACCCAGCTTTTTCCTAGGACAGTTGCAAAAATGGACTGGGTCCAGTGCCTCTTCCGCCACGCACGCTTCTGATTCCGCGCTTGGAATTCCATCCGCTGGTGCGAAAGGATCGCTGCTGAGCGTTCGAGACCTGATCAGCTGGAGTGTTCATCCCGTTCGAGTCTCTTCGTTCAAGTCTGCCAGCTACAGGTCTACGAGCAGCGGCTTCTTTCACAAAACTCGGCCTCGTCCGCAGTGTTCACAGACTCTGCCTCATTTGCTTTCGTTGGTGATCCAGATAGGTGTGTTATATGACTATGATGACTACTATGCTATTATCTTCGCTTTTGTGTCTCCAGGTTGCGGGTTTAGCCTTATGCTGGTTCTTGTCCGTACTTCGAGGCAAACCTCTTGTCGCTAGGGGACGCTACTGCCTAGGACTGCCACTGGGTCTATGACATACCCAACATATCCCTTGGGCATACCCGAAACAAATAAGGGCTAGGGTGAAATCCAACCTTTAAAAATGTCCTGTCAAGGAACCATTTGTTAAGGGGTGGCTCCTACCAAACAAGAGCCGGGGGCTCCTAAACACTAAACATCAGCATCTAAACCTTAAGTTGACCGACAGACGGTCTGACTGGCCGCCTTGGTGTTTGGCTACAACTTGGAGTCTGGAAGACGGGCCGACTGACTGACCGCCTTTGCGGTCGAATGATAAACAATTGAATGTGGGTTTAGGGTTCAGGGTTTGGGGTTTGGGGCTAAGGGCAATTGTCTTCAACGTGTGCGCGTGCGTCGATGTTTTTGTTTCTTCTTGATTTCCCAGAAGAAGCACACCTTTGAGAACGATCCCGTATCCTAAATCGTAGCTAAACCTCCTCTTACATACATATCTATATATATATATATATATGTCTATCTGTATCTACCCCGAAACATACTCCTCCCTAAACCCTAAACCCTGTTTTCGGCAATCCCTTATACAAATCGAGCCTCCTCCTCCTCAGGATCCACCAGCTCAAAGCGAGGATCAGCACGCACCTAGCAGGGAGCTCGGGGTTTAGGGTTTAGGTTTTAGGGTACAGGGTATAGGGTATGGGGTTTAGGCTTAAGGGTTTAGGGTTAGGGTTTAGGGTTTAGGGTTTAGGGTTTAGGGTTGAGGGTTTAGGGTTTAGGGTTAGGGTTTGGGGTTTAGGGTTCAGGCTTTAGGTTTAGGCTTTAGGTTTTAGGTTTTAGGGCGTGGGGTCTAGGTCTATGGTTTCGGGTTTGGGGCTTAAGGGGGTTTAGGGAGTTCAAGGGTTTTAGGGTTTAGGGCCAGGGGCCAGAGGATGCCGCCTCCGCAGCCAGCGACTTGAAGCGCTTGGCTTCCAGGGGCTTCCTGATCGCCACGACTTGATCTTCGCGGCTTTGCAAACACTTGATGACTACAAATCCCTATATATATAACTATTAATACCTATATATAACTATAAATATATAACTATACATACCCATGTACACCTACGTATAACGATACATCTCAATATACTTAACGATACGATACTATACGCAAAAGTTTAAGTAAATGGCTGACCCTGCAAAGTAAGCTGCGGGAAGGCCACAACTGCAGGTGCTGGGCCAGTTCATCGCAGAGATCTTCGTCCTCAAGCACCTCGCGGACCTTGACGGCAATCTCATAATATGATAATCTGAGATTGCTTTGATCTACCAGCATTAATAATCTAGAAAAACTAACAATGTACGAATGTACCAGTATTCTCAAATAATAAGTGTGTAGTCATCTTTCGTAGGTTTGTGTGCGAACCTTTTGAGATTGCCGGCCTCAATGGCGCCACAACCGTTGCAGAACGCTCCAGCCTGGTCAGGAAAGGGCCGCTGAGAATCTACTTGATGGTTCTCTGTAGGGCGTTTCATGCCTTAAAGGGGTTATATCGGGAGGGGATACAAGGCTAATTTCCTCGTTCCCTGGTTCCTTACGAAGCATTCAGCGAAAGCTCGCGCCAAACCAACTATGGCCCGGGCCTGTGATCGGTACTCGCCGAGCCGGGCGAGCTCAAGGAAAGCTGCAAGGCCCGGCACCATGGCGACATGGCATTCTGCGAGTGTGCTGGCATGTGGCGGGCGATGGGTATCTCAGGACGATGCATGCTCAAGTGCGCAGACTGCACTGCTTTCTCGAGACCCTTTGGCGACCTACGTCAGTGGAGTTGGCAGCCTGCTTTCGGTGTGGCGTGTGCATTCTCCTGTTTCAGGCTTGGCAACATGCAGAGAGCTTCAAAAGCAAGATCCAAACTACATAGAAGTACATAGAAACTACCCTCACATGCCCTGACCTCAACACGGTGACCAGCAGTCCCCTGCAGACGCTGTCTCTGTTCAGCATGTGTTCCCGCCTGTCTGTACACCTTGGCGTTTGGCTGCCGAGCCCGGAGCAAGTGCCACGCCAACCGCCTCGTCAGACAAGATGCCAACAGATCACACATGCGTCATGTACCACAGAAAGCTGTCAGGCTCCATCTGTCATTTCAATGCTTTCATGTGTCAGCAGGTACCCTTCAAACTCGAACCAAGCTCACTAAAGAGAAGCTCCGCTACAGTGAACAACCGGGCAGGCGAAGTGAGCCTAGCATCCGCACCACAGCTTCGCAACAGCGCCTCGGCAATGACTTGCGCAGCGCTTCATCTTGCAGTCTACAGCAGGGCTTCTCTTCCGGAACCGTTTTTGCTTTTGCGGATAACTTCAAGTCCTGGTCTTTGCCAGCTGCAGTCGCTGTAACACGTAGCCTTTCAAGATGTTTCGACGGTCAAAGGCAAACTCCAGGCAGCATCTTGAGGCGTGTGCAGCGGTTCCAAAACACTGCCGATTGCTGCAAACCGCTCTCAGCACTCTAACATAAAGCACGAATGAGAAGAAAAGTACAGAGAAGCTTGTCAAGTGCAAGCACGAGGAGTCCACCTCTTTTTCAGCTGACTGGTTCTGCAAACCTGTTGCTAGATATGGGGGTTGCTGAAATTAGGGTTCACCCTTTATACTCCCAAATGCATGTTGAATAGAGCTCTCAAAGGACCTCAAAAAAGGTCCCTACGTTTCGGAAGCCCCCATATGACATGCAACAACAGCCGTACAGGCCAAAGCTTCTACCAGCAAGGTATCTGCATGCTTGTCGAATGGTTTCATTGGCGCAAGTACGCAATAGGGCTTGGCTTGGCCTGACTGCCGGTAATCGAAGTATGGCATGTTGATGCACACGTGATGGAAGTTTCACAATAACGGCTCGGGGGCGCGCAGCAGTTCTTCATGAATTGTGTGTTGATGGCTTCGTTTTGTTGCTTTGTGAAATTGCGCGGTGCCTGCGCGCACGGACTCGAACAGGAAATGTCCAGTGCTGGGGTGAGTCACGCATCAGCTGCCTGATCCATGAAGACCGAGGCTTGCTAGCTTGCTAGCTTGCTGGCTGGCTTGCTGGTTGCCTGGTTCCCCCTAACGACAAGCAAAGGATAAATGAGGGAAACTTGCCGACACCTCCACCTCCGATTCTAAACGAGCAGGAAGCCAGGATGTTGGCACTTAGGCTGTCACTATGCAGCGACCGTCACTGCATGTCACTGCAGTTCCGAGCTGCGCGCAGCCATTGCAGTAGCCAGAAGACCAAGCGCCAGCATCAACTTGGAACAGCTATGGCGAACATGCTGTGCGGCTACGCGTCGCCGCTACGCGTCGCTGCGCCATCCCAGGACATCTCGTGCAAAGAGCCAAGGATGGGACGCTGTGTCGCTCGTACACCTTTCGAGCGGTTCAGTGGTCGGAAGTCTAGGGCGTCAAGGCGCCATCCATTGCTTGCGTTGAACTCATTTCCGTTCGTACAGCAGCTACAGTATAAAAGTGTCAGAAGAACAGAACACGCAGAGCATCGCAGCGCAGCACCTCCAAGAGCAGTGCCGCAAGCAAGGCCTGAAAGGCATCGGCACAAGTGGCCAGAGGGCAATTAAGGATTCCAAGAAGCATCGACTGCCACAAGCAGGTTGAACTGTGCCACGGTGCAGCTTGTGATGCCCGCAAGAGATCCCTGTCAGCTTTGATGATTCCAGGCCTGCTTCGCCCACCAGCGGCTCCAGGTGGCAACCTGAGACAGGAACCGAATCGATTTCCTGAAGTGTACGCCGTGTTATGTACTCCCGCCTTGCGCTCTGGAGGGTGGGACTGGGTCTGCACACGGTCTCAGCAGACACGCATCCAGGCAAATTGGAATTCGCCGTTCGCCTGCCACCCTGACTCAAGCTGAGCTCGCCACTTTCGCGACATCGGCCGGCCCAGCCATGGCCCGAAACTCTCTGTGACAAGCACGACATCCACGTCTCACAGGCAAAGGATCCAGAAGCACACAGTGGCCTACCAGTAGCACAGCACAGCTCCAGCTCGAGCTGACTAGCAATGGTTTAGCAATAGGGTATGGTGAAAAACGTTCCAAGCTGTTGACATCAGTGCTTGTCTATGTGATTTTTGTTGCCTGATCAGTGTTCTTGGAGACGAGATCTTGTCGTGCGGATTTTCTCCGAATAGTCAGAATACTCAGAACCGAGGCCGCCGGTTGCTATCGCGTCAATCACTACGGTTGGGAGCCTGGCACACACCCGTCGTGAGCTAGCAGGAGCTCGACCACTTTTTCCTTCGCTGCCCCCTCTCAGACTTGGGCCTGCTTAAGCTTCACGAAGAGTCGCACTGTGACCTCAGGCGTCTGCAAGGCCTCTTGCGTAACCGCACGTAATCGCACCGCTGCTTTTCACAAGCTTTCACAACGTGCTCCGGACTTCCAGCTCCCGCAAAGTGGATTGTGACAGCGTTGACTCCTTCGCAGGTGTTCCGACGGCACAATGAAGGACTAAAGCTCAGGGCACAGCCCGCTGGGTTGTGCTGGGCTCTCCTGGCCAATCCTGCTCAGCATGCCTGGCGCTGCCTCCTTCGACATTCGGCACACTGGAGGGCCATTACAGTAGCTGGTGCTTGCCAGGCTTCCAGACTACATGTCCTTATGTGCACTCAGTCCCACAACATCCCATGCGCAGCGCACTGAGTGACGTGTGAGACACGACAGAAGGATGAGACTGTGGATGCGACCTTGAGGTGCAGGAGTAGCGGGGACCTCAGAAGGACGTCTCGAGTGCCAGATCCAAGCGTCACTCGCAAAGACTGACCTTGTGAGCCTGTTAGCGAATCCCATGAAAGAACACCTTAAATATCCTTTTAATGTCAAGAATAGGGCTTGTCAAGACCGGTCTTGAATGCTTTCGGCAAAATGCCGGCGGGGACATCAAACACACCTGCTCTGCAGGAAGGCAGTTCTTACCACTTCTGGCTCCCAACTGCTGCATGGTGTGCCGCCTCCGGCGCCCGGAAAACTTAGTCGGTCACCGCGCGCCGCCGCGCAGAGCCTCCGATGCCTCAAAAGGGAATGGCACCACACGAGTTTATCCAGCGTGAACAGAATTTTTTCAAAACAGCGGTCGCTTCTTGCTTACGTTCCACGAAATTGTTCCATCAGGGCTGCCGATTCTGCCTCTTGATGGTCGGGCCAAGTTCTAAGGACACTTCGGGCGAGAAGCGTGACCCATTTGACCTGCTCTTAAGCGACTCCTTCTTCGTCATGCCTTGCTCAATTGCCTTAAGGGATGCCCCCCCTCTCTCGAATGCGCCTCTGAGAGCGGGAGCGGGTCCAAGGCCCCACTGCATGCGGCCAGCAGAAGAGCCGTCATCTCCTTAAAAAAAGACTGCGCAATGCTGTCGATTTACGTCGCATTCTGTCATCGGCAGCAAATTCGGAAACTGAAACCGCGCGCAGAATAAGATGATTAGGCTAACCTAGCAAATGCAGGACTCGAGAATTGCAAAGTTTCCTGAGAGCATCTGAAAGCACCCTGACCCTTGACGTGAACGCGATGATCATCCCCACCCCCTACCCCCCCTAGTTTCCTGAACCGGGGCAGTTTTCTGAATCGAATGTGCAGTGGACATCCGACCTGCCTCGGGCAGCAGGGCTGTGCCATGCGGCTGCTGTAGCGCAGAGGCCACAGCCTGAACCAAGCACGGAGAGCAAGTTACAAAATGAGAGGCCGCCTGCTCCTTTCGGGTTATGCCCCCCCTCCCACCTGCAGCTGCCTGGACTGGTGGCTGTCCACCGCTTCTGCTGTGGGTCGGAAGTGCGCCTGGGAGAGGAAAAATTGACAATCAAGCGACGCGGGTGCTTGCATGCGCTGCCGGCTGCCGTCCCATGCGAACAAAGAGACGGGTGACCGAGGTATACCGAGGTGAAACTGCGTGATGCAAGTACCAGTACTGGTCTGCAGCAGCGCCTCCTGCTCCAGAGCTAGCAGCGTCCGGAGGTGGGCCGCAACAGCCTACTGGCATAGACCATTCATGGACTGGTCATAGACTTGCAGAAGCCTCAAACTACGGATTACCACATGGCCTGCAGGGCCGGCGGCCGCACGTCACGGGCCTTGGCCTGTTGCGCAGGTGCACACGAGGCTTCGGCAAGAGAATGGCAGAAGGCATCAGAGCAGGAGCCTCACCACCCGAGGTCTTCGAGCCCAAGCCGAAGCGGGAAAAGCTGGCGCCTGAAGTCTCACATGGATTCAAAAACACAGATAACACAGCAGAAAGGAAGACATTCTGAACCTGCCTGCCACCACTGCTGGAAACAAACCTGCTGAAGCCATGGACTTGTCAAGAACGACCTGCGCTGGCTTTCCATGGGAGCACTGCGCAGAGGACATGACAAGGCGCATGACAAGGCGCATGGAGAAGTCCTGACCATCAGAGAGGCTCTGCATCTCGCGTGCAGACTTGACCTATCAAGTACAAACGGCGTTCCAAGTTCCCGAAGATGGGCGGCTCTCTAAATCCCAGAGACTCTTGTCAAAACCGGTGAAATAGGTGAACAGGAATTCAAAGGGACGTCCTCATTCTGAGCACGTGGGAGGTTCCCGTCTAGTCCCTAAAACCCTCTGATGCTTGATAAGATGCTCTTTTTCCCCCAGGGGTCTAATCAGCCTGGATGCTCCAAAACTCGGGCCCCTGGCACCCGGCGCACTGGTGCCGGGTGGCGCAAGGCCCAGGGCCTGGGGGGGTTTAGGGCGGTCTAAGGCTTCGGGTTTAGGGCGCAGGGAAACAAAGCCACGACTACGCTGTGGTGTGGACGTGACCCGGTTTTACCCGAAGGCTATCAAAACTCTCTGTGAGGCATTTGAAATCCGTTCCTGCCAATCAATCCAATACTCTCGGTTGGCTGCATTCAGGGAGCGCTCGGTCAGCGGGACTCCGCGCTCCTTCGTCGCAGGAAGGCATGGAACTGCAGCAATGCATTGGTGAAGCTTGCGGCGGACATCATGACAGCGACAAGACCTATTGAGGGTGACTCTCCTGCAGATCTCATCCCCCATTGCTACCACAGACTTGTCACACTCCGCATCAGCTACCCAGGCTCCAGAATGCAGCCTCCATTTTCCTAGCAGCGGCTACCAGTGCGCCTGCAAGCGCTGCAGTCGCTCCAGTTCACTCTGCCTGCAGCAACGATTCCAGTGCGCTCATGATCGCTCGTGCGCGCTGCGGCGACCGAGCTGATGAGTACGATGCAAACAGCAGCTGGACGCAAGGGACGCGACATGCCGGCCGATGGCCCTCCAACAAGCCCCACTAATGCAGCGATCGATCTTCACCAAAATTCCCTGAGACTCTCGACGACTCTCGGCCTCCGACCTCGGAAATCATCGAGAGTGAAGATCCTTGAGGCTCGTCAGCACAGCATGCAACGTCACTGGGCATTGAAGGGCTGCCATGCAGACGCCTCTGTAGTTTCAAGCGTCCAGTATTTGTACTCGGGTCGTCCAGGGCCGCGACGGCTCATTGGCGTCCTCGCCACTCGGGGCCTATCAGCCAGGAGCAAGCGACTACGATATGCCGATATGGAGCCCGGAATTTAGGCCCACCCAGGGAGTGACCCCTTTTTGCAGATGTTTTGCGTTCTCTCTTTTCCGTAGCTTGAGTTTCGCATCGTGCCACCGTGCCCTGCCTTCTTCTGCCCTGGGATGCCCAGAGCTGCCATGGCCTGCTCCAAGCGTGGCTGCGCTCCCCTTTAATGAACGGGAGCTCCAACCCCAGAAGAATGCACATCAATCAACATAAGGAGGGAGAGAGGGAGAGGGAGGGAAGAACAGAGAGAGACAGAGGCACAGAGAGAGAGAGAGAGAGATGAAGATCAGAGCCCCATCGGGCCTCTGTTTCAAGAACGGTCAGCCTTAGAGCGTCTCGACACGTCCCGAGCATCTGAAGATGATGGCTTCAAAAAACCTTCAGCGGGACGACTCCGAAAACCAGTCGAGAACAGATCAGCACTTGATCGGCGTGATCAACTCCTTTGTTGCCAAAAAAGAAGCCTAGGACCCCCTGCCTTGTCACCCCTGATCTCAAGTCAAATCTGGCCATCTGAGGCCCAGGCATTGTCAGGGATCCTCCGCGCTGGAGGTTTGCCGCTCGTTCTAACAGTGCCTTGAGGCATTGAGGTGTAAACTCTTGGAGCACCCTGCAGACACCAGTAACGAGATCCGACACAAGCTCCACGTGGTTCAGGGCTTTGTGGCACCACATCTCACTGTTTCAAGGAAACGGTCAAGCTGGGCTGCAGGCGGCAAAAGCAGCACGCCGCTGCGCCGCCAGTGCCTCCGCGTCGCCGGGCCCCCGGGCCGCCTCCAAGCTTCGATCTCCGGAAGCATCTTTGGGGCTTCGGGCCTAGGGCCTAGGGTTTAGCGTTTAGGGTTCAGGGTTTAGGGCTTAGGGATTTAAGGGTTTAAGGGTTTAAGGGTTTAAGGGTTTAAGGGTTTAAGGGTTTCAGGGTTTCAGGGTTTAAGGGTTTCAGGGTTTCAGGGTTTAAGGGTTTAAGGGTTTAAGGGTTTAAGGGTTTAAGGGTTTAAGGGTTTAAGGGTTTAAGGGTTTAAGGGTTTAAGGGTTTAAGGGTTTATATAAGGGTTTAAGGGTTTAAGGGTTTAGGGCTTCGTTGTCTTTAGGAACCACCCGTTCAGCTTTCAGACACGAGGGGCTTTGCTTGCACCAGGGGCCTCCGCGAGCTCCAGGGCCAGGTCCCAGGCATCCAAGAGAGGAGCAACCTTGCCGGAAACAAGTCCAATCATATTTTGTGAATATACAAAAACAAATCTGAATATAAACAAAGAAAGCAATAAATATATACATAATAATGAATAATAATAACAATAATACTGGATAATAATAACAATAAGAAGAAGAAGAATATGATCACATAATCATATAACAGCTGCTCCTTGAAGCGACTCCCCATTAGAAAGCTGGATATACGTTCACCTTACACTGACGTCTCATGATGTCTCTACAGCTCTCCTGTATAGATGCGTCCAGGAAGTATGCAAACGCCCAGGGCCAGCTCCCAAGAGTAACTGCACGCATGAGTGAACACTGAATCTCTGGTGATTCTCGTCTGCTGAAAGAAGAGCTGTGTATCGAGATGCACGGCCTCATGCGCTTCGGCGTGGGCACACTGAAGCTCTATAGTCATTTTCTCGTCTGCTGGAAGAAGAGCTGCGTATCGAGGTTCCCGGCCTCATGCGCTTAAGGTAACTGCAGGAGGGCAGCAGTGTCGAGGACCAGGAGCGCCTGCTTGCCTCCATCCCGGACTTCCTAGGCGGAAGAAAGGGCACGCGCAGCAAGTCGTGTCGAATCTACACACCAGCCCAAGGTTTGCCAAGGTATGCTTGCTCAATGCCACTTCGAAAAACATGTCGCACCTCGGCCACAGCCACGGCATCGAAGAGTGCGGGGAGGTAGCTCGCGGAGGACTGATGCGACTTTCAGGCAAAGGCAACCCAAACAAGCCGACCGCAGAACGAGCCAACTCACAGTCAATGCTCAACCAGTGGCAAACAAATGCTGTTCAACTGCGCGCCGGCTCATCCGCTAACGTGATCTAGATCGCGCGGGGGCACCCTCCACCTTGCCTAGACCAAGAAGACTTTTCACAAACTTCTCACCCCACCAGCCTTTGTGGGACTTGCTGGCACAGCCTTAGGGGTGAGCATCAACGAGGCCTCTGCACGGGCCGAAGAGGCAACCTTTTGAACTCTCCCAATCAGGAGGCAACATGGCTGCCAGTAGAGCAAAGCCTACTGGCCCAATGGTAAAAGCCGCTGCACTAACTGTGCATGTCCTGGTTTCTGAAATTTCTGTATGCAAAGCGAGGCTTTACTCAACAGGATCCTAGAAACGATGTAATCGCCAGCGGTATGGAACACGTCATTTCTTGCGGAATACATATTTTGATATATTTTGTACTTCCGAGTCATGTCTACACGCCTGGGGCCCCAGCAACCTGCATCAGCGTGCCCATGCGTTGCAAGGCTGGATCCGCTGGTGGAGCTGGTGATGACAGAAAGCGCACCACCTGCCAGAAATGCAGCTAAACCTGCGGAAACACACTTTTTCCCATTCTAGTGGGCAAAAAACTCCCGAATCGGGCAGTTGAACATTCTGACAGAAAGCGCCTTGTCCACTTGGCGGCCGGCAAGAGCATGTTCCACAACCTTTTACGACAAACTTGTGAAGAACACAGGTTCTCTTACAAAGAAGCAAGCGGAAGTTCTCCGAAGGACACAGAGCGGCCTGATTGGCTAAGGTGCTCTTGCCCGTGTCCTCGTTGGAGGGATTCAGTACACAGGCAGCGTGCCACTGAAATGTTGGGAACATTTGGGGACCGGTAGACACTGCTCGCGTTGTCTGGTCAGACTCTGCGCAGTCTTAGTCACTCACAATACACCAAGCAAACGCCCCATGCCGACTCGAGATTAGAAACCCCCCTGCAACAACGGCCCCAAAATCCACGGAACAAGACCCTCATGAACAAACATGTGGGGGGGGGGTTCGAAGTATAGGGTTTAAGGTTTTGGGTTTACCCTTTTTGGGGGGGCTCCTAGAAGTGACTCTCACATCCGGGGCCTCCTTCTTGGGGGCCCAGAATAGACTTCTCAATGGAATTTTTGCGTTTCCTAGACTTGGCTGGACTACGAAATTTGGGTTGCGGGACTGCTCCGCTTCCGTACCCTTACACAACTCTGCGCAACCCAATCTGTGTTATTCGCGCTACTCCGAGGTAAAATTGCTAATCTGAAGTCAGCTAAAACTACTCATGATAACAATAATAGTAGTAATAATCAAAAAATACTAACAGCAAGAATAGTAATGATACTTTTAATTCACCCTCTGCAGCCACGGGCCTTTGGGCCGCAGATGAGCATGGATTGGCCAATGCCGATAGGTGCCAGCACGTCAACTGACCAGACAGCATTGGCTCGCACAGCTGCAAATCTGCATGGATTGTGAGCTGCCATGAAAATCCCTGAAAGTTGTTCAACAATGGCATAGCTCCACACCTGCTAGGATGCCAGAAGACAAGCCCTGAGACAGCTGGGCCCGCTCCGCCTGGCAGTTGGAAGCAAAGGTCAGGCAAACGATGCCGATTCCAATCATAATCTCAGTTCAAAAAAGGTGGCACCGTGGGTTACACTCAAAGCCCAACGCCTGCGTCGGGGTTGGCTGGCGTAGGCAAGCCGGTGCCAAGCAGCTTCCAGGCGTCTTGGGACTTTGTGTCAGCAAAAGGTGGGAACTGAACGGGCAGTGGAGAAGACCAGGGCTGGAGGCTCTGCTATACATACGTATATGTATCTATCAATCTTTGAATATATACATATATATATATATGTGTGTATACATATTAAACACAGAATATATATATATATATGGTACCCCCCCCCTGGAGAATCTACCTCCAGAGGGTGGGGGTTTAACATATCTATACTTTAATCTATTAGCTTGAGTTGTTTTTTCTTTTCAGCCAGAGGGTGGGGGTTTAACATATCTCTATTTTAATTTCTTAGCTTAAGTTATCTTTTTCTTTTTTAAGTCACGGTCTTCGTCCTTATGTATGTGTAGGATATGATTTCCTATATCATTCTCCTATATGCTGAGAGTGCGGTGTAAGTTTTTTTTTAAGTGTGTGTCTTGTTTATAAGCAGCTTGGGTTGCTTATAAGCACTGGGGTTGCTTATAAGCAGGATGGAGGGAGGGGGGGGGGGGGTTGGGGGGGTTTGGCCCCAGGACCTCTGAACCACCCCCCCCTGCCCCCCTGAAAGATCATCCAAGATGTCCTCATCTTACTCAGTAGAGCCCAAGACCTGTGAACATGAAAATGTTACTGAAGCATTTGGTTAAAGAGTGAGAAGTGTACGTGAACAAGTAGTTGCCATGAAGCGCGTGGGAGCGGTATCGGGCCTCATCTCCTTGGAGAATGGTGTCTGCAAACTTGAATTGGTTCAGAGCTCCTTCACGCCAAGCACTTCCGCATCCACAGCTTCTATGCTTAATCCCTCGTCTCCTCCACCGGTCATCTCTACCATAGTCGAGAAAATCAAGAGTGGCACCCTCGAGACACATCCCACGAAACAAGACTTGACATTACGCCAAGTCCAATCACATGTGATCTATCTCCAGCACAAGTTCTCCCTAGCACCAGGAGTGGCATGCGGAGAGCTATGCTCCCATGTCATGAGAAAGTTCTTGTCGTAGGCTTCCTTCGCCCCACAGGATATGGCGTCTCGGTAGTCCATATTCTCTATCCAATCCAGACCAACCGCGCTCGCAGGTAAAATTCATGCGTCTGACATCGCAATAATTCGACCACACGCAACGCCATATATAAGATATGAAAATGGCATCTGACATGGCAATAGCTCAACCACACACAACGCCATAAGACCTGAAAATGTAATTCTGGGAAGTTAATCTCGTGATCGTTCAACCATGTAATTCTGGGAAATAAATCTCGTGATCGTTCAACCATATAACACGCGATAAAACCTTTAAAGGTAGATTCTTCTGGGGGGGGGTAGCATATATATATATATATATATGCATATATATATATATATGTGTTTGTACAGAGAGAGAGAGAGAGAGAGAGAGCGTCATGAAGGCCAAGGTCGGAACGTCGGTTTCAGCCCGGGCCTGCACAGATCGGAGACTTTTTCACAAACCTCTGAGATGGAGGCAGTAGATGCCAAGGGTTTAGGGTTTAAATCGGGATACGGAACACTGTATCACCCTCATGTCAGTATCCCTTTCTTCTTCCCCCACTGCATCACGTCAAAGGCAACCACAGAAAAATGCCTTTAAACACCAAAACACATGCAATTCTAGAATGCTTGAGATCTCGGAGCATTGATTGGCCCAACCCCACAACAGGCCTCTCCGCTGGGGGATCCTGCAAGATGGGGAGCACTGAGCAGCAAAACGCACAGAGGAAGTATACGGTTTGGGGTTTGGGGTTTAGGGTTTAGGGTGCTTTCAGGACGCTGGCGTTCAACAATGTTGCTCCAAAAGTCTCTCGGCTCCGAGCTCACAGAAAGAGGAGATGCAAACCAGTACCTGCTGACGAGGATCAGGCGACCAGGATGAAGTAGCCCAACCCAAGTCAAACCGCTCGCACATTCCCGCCTATCCACTTCGAACATGGAGACCCAGTGCCGACCCTGGTCCGGTGCGCTGCTTTTGCCACACCACATCTACTGAACACAAACCATTTCTGCGGCTCTTGGCCTGGTGTTCGAACACGACACCGCGGCTGGGTGCAGCCTGCAACATGGCTCATCATGGCTCCCTCTATGCTCCTACACATCTACACAAGACTGCCTTACTAGACCCCATGATGTCACTACAGGTGCAGCAGGCCTTCGACGATCCGGAAACGACGCTGGAGACCAGCAAACCCTGGCAAAGTGCAGAGTGTGGACAGCTGTGTGGTACCAATGCATCCGGAGACATGCGCGGGGTCTCCCGAATTCACTGCTTTTCGCACATTTTGCTGCTGCCTGCACTTCCCCAAACCTGAAGCTACCCTTGCCCCAACGCGACCTCGGGATGATGCTGGACCACGTCAACTTCCGCCTCTGGGAGTATGTCGCCTGCACCGGTCTTCTCGGTTTGCGGGGCATGGAAGCATCTGGAAGCCTCTCGAAAATTCTTTCAGACGCTGGCATCTCTGCCAAAGTTCGTGGCCTGCACACAGCCTGCGTCGGCTGCATGACCTTGACGGTAAAGCGAAGAGTCTCTGCTATGGATCTGCACGCAGGCATGTTCGGAACTGTCGCCATCGATGCGGAAGCAGAAGAAGTCATCAGCCTATTTCTGGAAAAAGACACCAGTTGAAGGTGTTGGCACAAGGTCTGAAGGCTAGCATCAGACGTTTTATTACGCGGGACGGTGCTCAAGCTTCAAGACTTGCCTTTGGGGACTCATGGCTGAAGGCTTAAGATGTGAGCCCCGCCTTCATCTTTCAAGCGATCTCAAGCAGGACTCCAAGTGGCAGGGTGGCTGCTTAGGCCCCCCCCCCCCCCGCACTGTTGGGAAGCTAATCCAAGATTTGACGCCTGCCGAATATGTACAACCCATCTCCTGGAGACTCACGATTCAGGTGAGGCCATTCAGCACTTTTGCGAATGCCAGGACAATGATTCCTAAGGACCCGAACGCTGTCGCGGTCTGGAGCCCCATCTCACTTGATCTCTGTCAGGAAAGGAGCGCCCTTCCCTTTGGACCACTCTTTGAACAGAGTGCTCAAGTGGTCACCTAAGCCGCTCACAACGAATTGGTGCACACGCTGGACTGTTCTGCTGCCTTACCAGGCAACAAGCGGAAACACTGCACGTGTGCCTTTCAAGCTGTAGAATGCAAAGGAGTTGATGATGGCAGAGGTTCGGCACCTGACATGACAACCAAGCTTCAGCACACTGATGGCTCCCGAGATGGCTGCTCTCTCCCTGCTCTCACATGCAATGGTCTGTTGCGCCTGACGCGAAACCGTTCTTGGAAACGATCATCCAGTATCCCATCCCACGTCGCCATTTCTTCCTTTGTGGCCAGCCTGGGCGGTAGAACTTTGGGTTGCTGGGAGTAAACTGTTGCCTTGTTAAGCGCCTGCTCTGCATGATCGACTTTCATGTTCCATGCGATTTCTGTGGCAGCATGTCAAATGTCCAGTTTCACCAAGATGCTTGTATACCTCTCGCTCCAGCCATGTCGTACTCTCGTACACGAAAGTGATGTAGCCCAGGTGATACCCTGAGTGGAAGCACATGACAGCAGGAAGCCCAGTTTCACCCCCGTCTCCCTCGTCCAAGCAGCTCAAGAGAAGCTCCTCCATAGGGAGGTGAGGACCGCCACAGCGCTCATACCTGGACGATGATCTCACTGCTTCTCAAACAACCCTCTTCATATTTTCGAAACATGTCAGCGTTCACAGCACTCCTGGGTCGAAAGGTAGAAAATCTTCTGACTAAAACAGAAGAGAAGTACTGGCAAAGTCGATCTTCAGGGAGGGTTCTGGCTCAATTGCCATCGGACCGGGCGGCTCATCCCGAAAGCAGCGAATGATGCCCTCCTCATGCGCTAGGAGAACCTTCAGAGATGTCTGCGCAGGCTCTCTGAGACAGGCAGGAGTGGCTAAGTTGCAGCCCGGTGCCTCGGGGTCAGCTCCTGATAGGCATCCCAGGAAATTCATGCAAAATGGCGTTCGGTTGAAGCCACCCCAGTCAAGGACACCACCTGAACTCAAGGCACTCAAGGCAAGAAGCAAGCCTTTTGCATCCATGCACTAGATGCATCTTCTAGCACGCGCCGCTCAGGCCAAGTGCTGTTCCTCAGCACAATTGCAAGCAACAACAGGTCCAGCAAAGGCGCATGCCAACGTGCCATATTCATCCCGCCAGAAGAAAGCGTTGTCTGCCTGTCAGCCACAGCGGTGCGAAATGCACGATGAACACTCATGCACTGCCCTGCCTGCAGATTCGCATGCATTGTGGCCACATACTTGGGATCTTAGCTAGGCACTCTCCTTGTGACAACATCAATGAGGCTGATGGCCATTACTATCTAAGCTCCTGGCCCGTCCACTGGTAGCCGCCCGACCTCGAAAAGGAACAACAAAGGTCTTTGTGAGCGCCCTGGTAAGGCTGTCAAAGCACATTGTGAAAAAAATCTAACCTGGCGAGCAGCATGCCAGGAAAGTGCGGCATCATCTCCAGCAACTCCTCTTTCACCTTTTCGAGCCGCCCGCCTTCGTAAGACCATGCAGTGAGATGCGCCTGACATGCACACGGACTGACGGAAACGGAGCGCCCTGCCTTCAAGCAGAAATTTTGGCACCATGCTGGGGACCACATTTGTCATGAAGTCTATCGCAGTATCAAGTATCCGGGCGACCTGATGGGTGCAGGATGTTCTGAGAGGCCTTTTGAATTTTGGCCATGCAAAGTTCCGACAAGAAGCCGAAGCTCGCTGGCTTTCAAGCTGTGCGGCTCTTATCTCCCGTCCTTGGTGCGAAAAGCCAACAAGAATGACGGCCTTCGGAGCCTTGCGCCACACCACGAGGGGGAGCCAACAAGTTCGGCCAAAGAGGCTTTGCCGGGCGGCCATCTGCATTTGTTTAGAGTCCAGTGCGCCAAAGAACTCGTCGAAGCGCCCTGGACGTGGCAGTGTCAACTCTTCAGGCCGACATCTGTTCGCGATAGCTTTGGGGTGCCTGAAACATGGGTCGTTCTCTGTTTTTTTTGGTCTTTTCTGTTCTTGTCATAGATGTGCCCCCACATCCTGATGAGAAGACATCCTCTCTGCTGTGTTTCTCCAGTTCCATTGTCCAAAATGACTGCCAATGCCCACTTCTTGGCAGTAATTCTTTAATGAAGCTGGTTCTTTGCAAAGCTTCTAGAAACTGACAAGTACTGTGCCTGCACATCCCCTTCAGGTGCCACATCATGCATCAAACATAGGCTGGGAAGGTTCAAGAATGCATTGTATTGCAGCTTGCCCAAACACATCAAAGCATCGCACCTTGCTTGTCCCAGGCAGCCAGTTGGCCCATAGCCCTGAACAAACAGCAGTAGTACCTTAGAGCCCGCGTCAATGCCATACTCGGAACTTGCGCAGCCGGCTGTGTTCCGCTGAATACCACGGCAGCCAGTGCTGACATGTCAGCACATGGAGTTGAGTTGGAAGTCCGCTGCTTGCTGTTGTGGGCAAGCCGCTCAGCTGGATCGGGCAGCAGCCAGTCCTCGCTTGGGGGATACAAATGCAAGCATGCTGGAACTCTGAGCCTCCGAGCAGGTTTCGACAAAGAAGCCACTCGATCAGACTCTCTCCAGGCTTTCTAGACCTAGATCCATGGCAGGTTGGCATCGCCGGCAAACTGCCTAATTTCGGGTTGGGGAACTCTGTGCTGGATGCAGTTGGGGCGAACCGGCTAAAAAACACTTGAGAGCACGTCCTGGAACTTGCCACAGACAGGCAACACCTGAATCGACATCTGAAGCGGCTGAACAGCCGACTGAGACCCTTACAGATGGGATTCTTGGGGGGGGCCCGGCATTGAAATGGTTGCTTGCGACTGCCTCCTGGATACAAGCCGTCTGTCGGAGACTATGTAACCCCTGGCTGCTCAAGCGGAGACACTCCTACTCAAAGCCGACAAACTCGCGTCTATTTCTACCGTAGAACTGCTTGGGGCGCCCTTGATGCCTCACATCCACGGTCCCAACCCTGAGACAAAAAATTAAAGAAACCGTAGCCCTAGCACACCAAGTCGAAATCCAACGTGAAGTCCTAAGATGTGGGAGGGCTCGAACACTGAGACGCCAACCCTGCAAGCAATAAGTGATAAACCGATTGCAACCTCTTATGCTCTAAGTATTGAGTCCCGAAGGAGCCTAGGTAGGCCTGAACTGCAATCTGGATGCGCCGCAACCTCACCTTCAACCAGAGTAATGGACGCAATGATGCAGCTTTTTCCCTGTCCGACCCATGCAATCAAAAAGAGAGAGAGAGGGAGGGAGGGAGGGAGGTAGAGAGGGAGAGATGAGAGAGGGAGATAGCGAGTGTGACGCTGACCTCCTCAGAGGCACCCAACATGCAATGCATGCCTGCAAAGTGCCTTGTTCGTGAACCCCAAGCCTTAAGCCCCCTGAACCTAAATGGGGGGGTGGCGCGCTGGAGGCAAGCTAAGACACCTGGTAGGGCCCGTAGTCGATCTGCTCAACCACTTTGCCTGCACGAGATAAAATGGGTACTCCCAAAATTGGGGTAACCGAGTAACCCTTTTACCCCCCAAATAGAGTAGAATCCACCTTAAACAGAGATTGTTGCACTGCAGTGAAAGATAGGTTGGGAGGCTGGCAGCGGGCTTGAGACCCCAGGTCTGCGACATCACCACATGCCTTTCTCGATGCGCCCGCGCTTGGAGAACTCGATCGTCTCCTAACATGACAGCATCATGACAGCATATGAGAGCATTCAGCGCTGACCTGCCCCAGACGCCATGAAGACCAGGCATGAAGACCATGCTGGGATGTGGAGTTGTTGCTTCGTGCCTGGCATTATGCAGTCCGGGCGGCAGAAATCAAAATGAAGTTGGTCGTCTCGCGACACACGTCCCCGAAATAGAACTTCGCTGTGCGGAACGGGAACAGATGCGAGAGCAACCTGGGCAGCTGTCACAGCGGGCCTCGAGCCCTTGCAAGTGTTCCCCAAACTTTTCGGGTTTCGGCACTGGTCAGCAGCACACATCTGAGCAGCCGGGGTGCATTTGCACGGCAATCTCCGGACCGTCCACATCACCGAAGGATGAGATCTGCCGCCGTTCTACAGGGAACTGTTCGAAAGGGTACCTACAGAGAGGCGATCTTGGCGGTGTCCCCTCACGAGACCACGTGAGACAACACGAGACCACAAAGGCGTCCAAGGCGCGGATATTTGCAGAAGAGCTCTGTGTGCAAGTCCGGGTCTGGCTTCTCATACTCCACCTGCCAAACAATTTCATTGCGTAAGGAGTGCACAAATGTGTGCGCGGCATCCTGGGCATTGCCCCAATATTCCGAAAACGCACCGAGCCATGCGACCGTGAGGAACATCTTCATGGCGGCGCCGCCAGCAGCATCGAAGCCCTTCACAGCCAGGTCCTCGGCCCTGAGCTGCGACTGGTAGATACACGCGCGCACACACACACACACAACATCAGAATCAACAACCTGCTACCGGTTTACCCTCCGACGCCTCAGGAGCTTCGTGACTCTGTTGTCTGAAGGCAAGGTTCCGGCCTCGGATCAGTTGTCAGACACCTGATGCTCCTGAACATAGGAAGCTAGCGATGATCCGATCCTACACCCCAGTCAGACACGCCACAAAGCCCACAAAGGGGCGGCGGGGGGGTGCGCGTGTGAAGCCTTGGGCCACTTCCCATGCAACTGGGGCCCATGCTGCATGGAAGGCCTCCGTGAGCCAGGCGGGCCCAAATTTCTCGGAGGCCATCTCCTCGGCGGACCTCAGGCTCATCTCCTCTCCCCCCTGGCGCTAGGAGCAAGGATTAAGTCAGGACCCTCGGGGATCTAGACCCTCTGAGCAAGGGCCCGTTTATAGAGGAACCACAAGCGAGACGTGAAGGAGTCGCATCTGGGGTCTTCCGGTCGCAACGGTCGAGGCTCGGGCAGCGGGAAGCTCAATCCGAAAAAGCAGCCTGTAGGCATGTGACACAATGTGAGGCTGCACCGCGAAAGTGTTGCATGTAGTGCAAGCAAGCACATGGTACATGCAACGATGGAGGTGTGCCGTTTTTTCCCTAGGTGTGGTGGGATTTCTTGCTACCCTTCTTTGTCGCGAGCTTGTTTCCTGGGTGGGCCGGGACGCTCTTTTTCCTAGGCTGGTGGGCCTTTTTGTTTCTCCTAAGTGTGTCAGGTTGAAGGATTCTATAAAATCGATGGGGTTGGGAGGGACGCGCAGCTCCACGCCCATTTGCAAACCCGGCACGCTTGCAATAACAAATTTGGAAAGGCTTCATATATGGGTTTTGATTAACGCAAGCTCACACGGTTAAAATAGGCAAGGGTGATCGGGGGGGCAGGGGGGTTTTGCGCAGCCACACCCATTCGCGGACGCTGTGCTTGTAGGACAGATTTCGAAAGGATTCAAAATGAGTAGGGGTTGGGAGGGGGCTACTACTTACAATTACGAGTTTAGAAAGAAACCCAAATAGGCTTTGTTTGAACCCATTTTTGTTTCACGCCAAGATGTTCCTGAACGCAAGGGTTGGGGGTGGGGGGGGGGGCCGTCACACCTTGGGAAAAAGGGCCACCACACGTTTGCCAAAGGAGACAGCCTACAAAACTCCGCATTTTGCGATTAGCAGGGAATGGGAGGGATTTGGGATTTGTGTCCAAAGGAGACTTTCTTCCCCCCCCCCAAGAAATGTGTTTAATGTATGCTTGCTTCCTATGGAAATGTAAATCTCTATGTTATGATGCGTCTGTATGCTTTGGACAGGTCTACTGCAAGGACATATGCTTGCTGCACGCATTTCCCTATAGAGAACTCTTAGACCCGCTTGATTAGTGGATCTTGACGGGATCTTTCGAAAATTCAATGCGCAAGGAATTGTCGGTTTTTGTCGTCTATGAAGATGCAAAGACAAGGGAGATCTATAAAGGTACTTACGAAGAAAGGAAGGAAATCCCTCAAACCATAAGACTACCAAGTATTCGAGGGAATAGAGGAGATGTATACAATCCGCTATATGAAAGCTCCGGAAAAACAAGAAGACATCTTGTCGTTGGTACCGAGGATAGGAATACCGTGGGGAAGCGAGAATATTGTGAGCACATATCATCTCACTATTCATTCATAACCATGATATGTAAGCCACGCCAATGGGAATACTGTGAGCAGACATGGGACTTCCCAAACAGTGCCAATAGGTACTTGAATATGGATAGCCTTCCCAATGCTTCCCAAAGATGTTGCAGCAGTGTTTCCAATACATGTCGGCGGGTATAGCATCGTAATTATGTCGTGGTAGTTGGACAAGGGAAGGGGATTTGGGGAAGGGTGTCCTACAAAGACTGCCCGAATCCCAGCGATGGGGGTGGGGGAGGGGCAAAAAACTATGTTAACAACTTTTCCCCCCACCTGACCTTCTCTCCTACCCCCTGCCGGATGGGGGGGGGGGTCAAAAACAAATGAGCTCAACATCCCCCCCCCCCCCCCCCCCCGCACGGGCAGGGGTCTTGGAGCGGAGGCAAAAAGAAGAGTCCCACGGCAGAACCACGGACTAAGGGACAAGAAGGCCCGCCACACCTGGCAAACGGCCTGGCACAAAAAAAAGGCCAGGAAACAAGGAAATCAAAGAGGGCCCCGCCACACCAAGGAAAAAAAATGAATGCCAGACCCCCCCGCCACCCCGCCCCCCCAAAAAAATCCACCACCAGACCAGCTGAATCCTTTTCCCTACGAGGTCTTCAAGCACCAAGCCCGAATAGACTGTCGACCCTTCGGCCATAGTCCTAGCGATGAGGTTAGCTCCAAGGAGCTGAAAAGACCTGTAAGTACACAGCGAGTGTGCGCTGACTGCCCGGTGCCTGGCAAGTGTTGCTTTGACTTCTCTGCCAGCTGCGCCGCGCTCAATGGTATGTACGGTGCCAGGGGCCTGCCACGGTGGCGTTCTCAGCTACGTGACTGTGCTTTTTGCATGATGGGGAAATAGGCATGGGGGAGAAACACATGAAGAACCACCACTTACCGACACAACCTTCTACATGTCGAAACCGACAGCACAAGCCTCGGCTGCTCGATTCTGGCGGGCTTTGGCATCCTTGCACAGCGCTCCGACAGCTGAAACACTCCTCTCTGTGACAGACTCTTGCACGTTGTTGGAAGGACCAAGGGCTGCGAAAAGCTTTGGCAAGGCCTGGTCGGAAGGTAGGGCTTGCCCTCACGGAGAAGCCTGCAACGAGAGTCGCTACAGAGAGCAGAACGGGCAGCGGCACATGAGGAAGCCGAAGGCCCATCCGTGGAAGCCTCGCCACAGCTGCAGCCCAGGGAACCCAGGAAGGAAGGCCTGGATGTGATATCAGTTTTGGCGCCCCTCTCTGGTGAGTGCAACCTTCGCAAATCCTAAAGCTTCACTGCAGCCAGAGGGCCATCATAAGAGAATAGCTTCTCCTTCAACGGAACACAAACAGTGCAGAGACTGCCTCTTTGCGACGTGCACATCGCCGTGACTGAAGCTGAGGCTATTGTAGATCTACATAGCAGTGTCGCACTAAGGTCGCGTGAGAACAGTATCCATGAAGTTGTCTTCCGACCGCACTGGGCTAAGACCAGCTTGGACCTGCATAGCGTTATCCAAATGGAAACTTGATGGGCCGACCATTTCGAGTCTGAGTGTTTCGTCCGCCCGAACACCCGATTTACGGTACTCAGGGTGCTTCAGCTACTTGCTGACAAGGGCAGCTTGCATGCCTCTTCCCCAAAACATCAGCGGCAATTCCACAGACGTGGAGCGCTGAAACGACTCTCTTCTGCCTCGACCTCGAGCGCTCTTGCGCGCAGCTTGCGTGGCCCCAGTTTTCAGCTTGTTGCAATGTTGGTATCGGCCCCTGCGCCCCTGCGCCCCTGCGTTCAGGGGTTTAGGGGGTCCCGGGGCCCAGGACGACACCCACATGGCTACAGTCAAGAGGGTGCGAGAATTTCTCAGTCCCTCATTCGAGGGGACCTGCGGTTTGACTTGAGTTTTTGAAGACCGAGTGCTGCTGAGCTGAATTAGCTCCAGGTGCTTCATCTTTGCATCCGAAGTCTCTTGGAGAACCGTGCATCGCCTGTGCGCCTCATCTGTTTCTGTGCTCAATGACCGTGCCAAGGAAAAATCTCAACAATCCTTGTTCTCTGGCAAGATGTCCAGGTCCATGCCATCGTAAACTGACCCAGACAAGGCCTCCCGATGAAAGGCGGGATCAGTTGATGTACTTCGTTTGCTTTTAGTCTCTCTTTGCTTTTTTGTTTGGGGGGGGGGGGGTGGGTGTCCGAAAAGGGGGGGGGGGGGGGGGGGGGGGGGGGGCGTGAATCTGAAACCCGAAAACCTAAACCCTAAGCCCTAAACCCTGAGCCCTAAACCCCAAACCCTAAAAACCCTCAACCCTACACCCTAAGCCCTAAACCCTAAAAACCCTAAGGAGTGGGCGACCAAACCATCATGAGGCCTCCTGCACCTCCAACTCGTCCACAGGCGCAAGGAGCTCTGGGCCCTGCCGAAGGCCTTCGTGACCATCTTGCCCCCGCCATGTTCCCGAAGTTGTATGTAATGTATGTATCATATACCTAACTATATATGATATGTATACATATACATACATGTACATAAATATATATATATGTGTACATGGGGCAAGTCTCTATTCATTGTTTTTGGAATCTCCCCTCCCCACTCCCCCCGCAAAAACATACCCAGATGTTAGGACTAACTTGGGCGGCAAGTGGAGCCCCCTTCCGCGGAACGGCTTGTAGCCGCCAGGGTCATTAGAAACATCATGATGCGTAAGATGTGCAGAATTCATTATGAGTGCTATACATGTATATATATATATATACTACACTATCATATAGAAAATAAAGTACCACATATACAACAAAAGAGGTGCCTACTGATGTTGACATTCGCGTCACCAACAGGAACCTGCACGAAGCAAGTGGTCTTTGGGCTCCGAGGTGCGGATGCTGACCCAGCCACGCTCCGGGCCCGAGCCAGTGAGTCGGGCGAAGCAAAGGCGGTCGTCCTGAAACTGGGAACTTGTAGAGTTTCGGGTTTTCTGACACAAAGTTGCCGACGCCATGCTTGACTGCGCCCGGCTTCAGGAAATAGCAATGCCTCCAGAACCTCCCCCAAACCACGAGGCGACCATCCACTGTCAAATCCCAGAGGCCGCCTGCAATCCCAGGGCCCAACTCTTGTTCTTTGCTTGGGGTTTTTGCCGTTGGATGGGGCTCCGAAAACGCACATGCAGTTGCTTGTGCAGAAGCAATGCTGCTGCTCGACTGTTCTGTCAGAGCCCTGCACTGCAGGCACGGTGCTGTGGCTTCCTTCACCATTTTGTATCACGGTGGGGTTGTTTTATGTTAGGGGTCCCTCTTTATAGCTTCGCGTGCCCTGCACGAACAGAGAATGGCGACGTGAATGGAGTCCTTGCGCTCAAGCTGCCTGACCAGCGAGCCCGTTGCCAGGCGCTCCTTCACTCGAAGCATCGATACGCTGCACAAAAACGAAGTGGGGACACACTCGCGCTGAATCCGGGTAGGTGCCCTTGAAACAATGCCCAGTAGGTGCCCTTGAACAAAGATGCCCAGCTTCCTTCAGAGAGGGCGAGCTGGTCCTGAGCTGCACTCGCGCTTCACATGGTGCCAACACTGAGGAACACTCCTTCCCAGCCCTTCTTCCGAGAGCTGCAGACAAACATTCCGATGTTGGGATGTTCCACCTTGTACGAACAGTCCTTCCTAGGGATTATAGTTGGGGGTTCCTATGAACCCCCAATTTTGGGACTGTTAGTATAAGGGGGGCACATCCCAACCCTGAACCCCAAACCCCAACCCTAAACCCTAAACCCTAAACCCTAAACCAACAGCAGCAACTCTGCGGAGGTGCGGCTGAGGGGCTCGAAGCCCTCACGCACCAGCACGCCACCCTTGCTTTGGCCTCTGAGCTTCGAGGCAGAGCCGAGGCATCACAAGAAACCGTAGTGTTTGGGGGTTTTAGGGCTTAGGGTTTAGGGTTTAGGGTTTAGGGTTTAGGGTTTAGGGTTTAGGGTTTAGGGCTTAGGGTTTAGGGTTTAGGGTTTGGGGGTTTTAGGGCTTCGGGTTTAGGGTTTAGGGTACATCTCAGGCTTCACACGCCTCAACACTCAAAACGCTCACTGGACTCCGAAGCTCTAACCCGCATCTTGGTTTAGGGTTTAGGGTTTAGGGCTTAGGAATTAGGGTTTAGGGTTTAGGGTTTAGGGTTTAGGGTTTAGGGTTTAGGGTTTAGGGCTTTTTAGCCCCACCTCCAAGTACCTGCCAGACATTTGACGGCCGCTGCAGCAGCGCCTGCACAGGGTTTGGCCAGTTCTCTTTGGCGAGCATCTGTACTTCGACAAAGAACCCCATCTCCCGGGGAACATCGTAAACAAACAACAGAGCATTTACGAAAGAACCTGAATAAGGCAGTAAGATTCAAGAATTGCATAAGAACTCCCCGCACAGCCGAAAAAAGAATAGAAGGAGAAGTCCAATCAAAACAAACCCGTCGCCTCGTTGCGCCGCTTCAGCGGCACCCAGCCCTCTTCTGGGCCCTGGCCCGCCAAGCGCCGGAAGCCTGCAGATGGTCACTTCGCTTCACCCCCAATGCTGTTCTGTCGCATGGACGCTCTTTGGAAAGAGAGTGAAGATTTTTCTGATCGCAAGCTCGGAACCGAAAGTCGAAAGAAGCCTCAAGCATTCCGATAAAAGAGCGCTCACCGAAGGCGCATGACATCAACATCTCTGAACCACAATGAAGCACAGGCACGAAGCTCTCCGCCCAGTCGGGACAGCTCCACCAGCAATGCACCTGAACGAGAGCCACCAGCTTCACTTTCCCCAAGTAGCATGAATGACAGCCCCCACGTACACCCCAAATACAACTCCAAACACAAACCAAATACACGTACACCCCAAACACCGCCCATTGGCACACTCGAACTTGCCTTTTTGCCTTCTTGTCTTTCGCAGACGGGCCCCAGGTCGGCAAGTTCTTGCTGGTGGCTGTCCATAATTCAGGGATGCAGGAGCGCGGCAGAGAAGCACAGCGACGCAAGGGCCGCATACTGAGCGACAGCGCTTTGCGTCAGCAGTCGCTTCATCACCTTTCGATCCACGGCTGGTGTGTCGGCATCACCTCCATGGTCAGCTTGGCTTACCATAGCCATTGCTCGACCATACTTTCCCAAGAATTCGTAGGCCCTGGACGAAGCATGTGCCAGCAGCACGATCCGAACAAGTAAACAAGCAAGACAGGATTGCTCGTGCGCGGAATACACCTGTAGGTATGTAGAGGCAACTATACCAAGTAGCAGCAGTGAGGCTGCGCCTCCCACGAAAGCATAGGTCGCCAGATCATGGAAGGAGCGGCTCATCGGGTTTGTGACCAAGCCCATGCCCGCCAAACCGATGGCCGCACATACAGCAAAGATCCGCAGCGCCATCGCCAGCGTCCAAAGGTTACAGGATTCATACGCGTTTGCAGCTTCGCATCCGGCGAGGAACAACAGGACACCGGACAGGGCAAGTCCGGGCGCAAAAAGGAAGTAAATCGGAGACCGTTCCCCACTTTCACAGAAGAGCGGTGAGTCATGATGCGCTCGTGAATTTGGTCGTAAGGCCAGCCACAAGTAGTGGCACGAAGTACCGAGCGCGGCTATGGCAACAGCAAACTGAATGCCGCGAAAGTTTAACATAGCGCTTGATGGCTGACAATTGCTACTTCTTGCCGCTTGTTGCTTCGATCTTTCATCGGATACCTCTCGTTCATCGATTTCGCGACTGCGATCATGGAGCTCAAGCGGAAACCTCAAAGAGTAAGTACCTCCACCGTCTATATGAGACTGCCCCATCCATGCAAACCTACTGGAGGGTCAACGAACGTTACAGGCCCTGCCGAAGGAGCAGCTCAACAGGTGTTCGGGTTTGCATGCAGGTCTGCGAACTCATGCAGCATAACATGTCTGCACTGCGGGCCAGAGCGCCAGAGTCCTGTCTCAGAGTGTTCGTAGCATCTGGGTTTTGCTTTCTTGGCGAGCCGTCGGCCGACGGGGACCGCAAATGTACCCTACCACACTACCCGAAACCCTAAACCCTAGACCTCCTGCAATAGACATACATACATTTATATATATAGATATACACACATACATATATATATATATATGTGTACATGTGTCAATATGTGTATAAAATATATACCCTTTTATTCGTGAGCGAGGCACACGGCAAGGCGCACTCTTTGGTGGGTTCTTTCGTGGGCAAGGCACACTCTTTCGAGGGCAAGGCAGGCGTGGGCCTACTGGCCTTGGGCTTGAGGGTTTGGGGGCTATTGGGCCTTGGGCTTCAGGGTTTAGACTTCTGGGCCTTGGGTTGAGGGCTTTAGGGCCTACAGGGCTTTGGGCTATTTGGGCTGTAGGGTTTGCTTGGGCTTGTTGGGTTTAGGGCCAACTGGGCCTTGGCTGTAGGGTTTAGGGCCTACTGGGCCTTGGGCTTTCGGGCGTACTAGGGTTTGTGGGCTACTAGGCCGCACTTTGTTCTTCCAGAAATGACGACAGAGCAAGGATCTGCAAAGAAACGTGTTTTTCCTCATGTTTGCATGGGCGGGTGGGTGTTGCTCCATAACTTGACGAACTGCTAACCTCTCAGCCCTAAACCCTAAACCCTTAAACCCTGAACCCGAAACCCTGAACCCTTAAACCCAAAATCCTAAACCCTAAACCCGACAGCCCCTTTACAGGCCCTGCCGTCGGCGCCTGTTGCGAGGCGACCGACTCGGAAGTTGGAGCTGCCCTCCTGCGTTTTCGGGTTTAGGGTTTAGGGTTTAGGGTTTAGGGTTTAGGGTTTAGGGTTTCAGGGATGGTTTAGGGTGTAGGGGCTTAGGGATGGTAGAGTTTAAGGTGCAGGGTTTTTTCAGTGTAGGTTCGGGCAGGGTTCAGGGCTTCGTTCAGTTTAGTGGTATGCTTCTCCAGGCGCCGACAGCAAGCTGTAGCTCCTCCGTGCGAACAAGCACGCCACCTTTGTCGAGACCGCCCACAACCTCCAGGAAGACACAGAGAGATGCAAACATGCAAACGATGACCAGCCTCCCAAAGGCTGCCCATGATCACATGATGCACATGGCACGTGGCCTTCCACAACTACCCTGACTTTGATGAGGACCGTGGCTCTGACAATCTAGCAACAAGGTATGTCAGCGCAATCTAGCCATGTACAGCCCGACAGCTTCGACGTCGATGCGACTCTGCAACATGGCATGTTTTTCTGCTGGTGTTCAACGAGCTTCAGCCACAGCTCTGATAGGTCACGGCTATGGAAAAAGGCATGAAACAAGGCCACCCAAAGTCTCGAAGCCACTCTCGCACGGCCTCGATGCTCTGACTATGCTCTGAGATACTCTGAGAACCTTCATGCATATAAATATACATATGTATCTATATATGCACATATATGCACATGGAATTTCAGGGCCCGCGCAGTGTCGGCTGCCAAAGTCCTTTCTCGGCAGAGGGGTTACAGAGCTGTCGTAGTGCCCTCCCTCGCTGCGCGCTCTCACCGCAGGCCCGCACCCTCGACCGAAGTCCAAAGCCAAAAACAAGAAGCGTTTCGACTTCTTGCACTTAGCATAAAGTTGGCCTTCGGAACTTGAAAACAGCCTCTCTCCGTCTCTTACCCCCTTGAACTATCTCAGCCTCTCCAGGTCTGAGCAGAACCCTTCACGCCAACCGTTTGCTGCACCATCGCTCCGGCGTCGCATGTGAAGCGGGAACAAGGGGCTCTCTGAGCTCTCTGAGCCCTCTGGGCTCTCTGGGCTCTCTCCGAGCTCTCCCTAGGAGCTCTCGCTGACTTTCCGCCAGCCTCGACTTCCCAGACTTCCCAGGAGGCGGGCACGCATGGCTCACGAGCGGCCCATCGACTGCCTGACTCTTCTTAGCAGCTTTGGTCTCTCGAGCTTTGGGTTGGCTTCCGGATTCTGAGGAGAGACTCGCGCATGCTTGCTTCCACCCCGCGACCTCAACGTCGCGGAATGAATGTGTGGGCCAGAGCTGCGAGCCATGAAAACTTCAGTGAAGGTAGCACAAGTTGACAGGCTGCTCCATGAACTGCTGGTCAGCAACGCAAGCCCCTTGTTTTCCTGTTGAAACCGTAAACTTGCTCCAGTTCTTGGGCGCTAGGCGGTCGTGTAGGCAGTGGAGCCCAAAGCTAGGCAGGTCCAGGAAATCTCTTCATCGTGCTTTGTCGTGGGACTGCTGGCACTCTGCCTAACCTTGATTAGGCTCAACACTGCACTCCGCTGCGCACAAGATCAAATGGCCTTCAGGAAGACCGCTAACGGGACATGACGGCTTAAGCTTCAATATGCTCCCGCACAATCTCCTGAAGGACTCATGGAACTGTACACACGATATCTCCTACTGGATAAGCTTGCACATGTTTGTCTGTAGCAAGGTGATACATTCGCCTGAGATCTGGGCAGGTTCGGTTGTCTACTTACTCGGTCAAAGCACGCGAGTGTGCACAGACTTCGACTCCAAAAGGTAAAGACGGCTTGAGAGGGAAGCAGGAGCACCTGCACTGTGCAACATGCCCAGGGCGTGGATCCAATCCCCTGTCAAACTGCTCCCAGAAAGAGGGACACAGCACACAAATTGCATGAGCGACTCTCATTGACCTTGAACGGTGCGCCATATCCAAGTAGACACTTCATGTTGAAAGTCTGATTATAGCATGGTCTCCTTCAAAAGGCGCACGATACGCTGGTGAAAGCACCGGCCATGAGCCAATCACGCAAGTGCTTCTGGGCAAGATGACCGGATTGGAGCTCTTCTTCAAAATCCTTCTTCTTTACCTTCTGAGGGACCCTTATGCCTACTTTACGTGCCCTTTCGACTCTGAAGATACCGAGAGAGAGCTGCAAATCCAGCTGCTTCAGCTGGCCAGATCCAGACCATCCCATGTCATTTCGGCGTCAAGTTAGTTCCCCCCTCAATTCAAAGTTCCTTCAGAGATCTGGATCACAGCAGGAGCCAAGAAAATGAAAGAGCCCCGCGGGATCAACTTCAGAGACAGTGAGCTGTCTACAGCTCCCCCCTGCACAGGACATTTCATTGACGGCCCTCCTGACGCATGGAAATCCCTTTGTACAAGCCCGCAGCTGGTGCTGGCAGACACGTGGGATCTCATGTCATGCTGGGTCTGCAGCTACAAATTTAGCATTTTGGTTGGACATTTCATGAGACTTCTAGTGTCCGGTGTAGGATACTTCGCTTCTAGTGTCTGGTGTAGGATACTTCGTAGCACTCTGCACGGACTTTTATATCCCATCCATTACTGGGCAGAGACAGTGCGGATGGCTTCGACCAGCCTGGGTCCACAGAATGGTGGCACATGCGATGCATGCCTCGCGCTGCTGCTCCCAACCGGGGTCCCCGGCGCATCGCAGACGCGCTCCACGTCGTCTTGTTGCAGCTGATTTGAGGAGGGGAGGCCTTTCAGGTCAGGCGGGATTCGACACTTTGCCCGAAACCCCCATCTTCCCACAAATTCCGGCTCAGGGCACAGCAAACCAATCTCTTGTAGAGAAGCTCGGCATTCGGGCCTCGGGTGTTTATGAAATGAAACGTCAGAGGAGCATCCCCTTTCCAGAACCCGAACAAAAGCCTCGTGAAATCTCTGGGGTTTTGGGTACGTCTTAGTGTATGAAATGTGTATGACCCCCTTGTGACCCCTGTGAATTCAATAGAACGATACTTTTGCGGCCTGGAGCTTCACTCGGACCGTAGCAACTAAGCCTCGAACAGGGCCGAGACCTGCGTGAAGCTGGGCACTTCTCTACAAGCATCAAGTAGCCATGCGCCATTTTGCTCGTGATCCCGGGGCGTGCAGCTTTAAGAGCTGTGCATGTTTACAACGCATGTATCGCAAACGAAGTCGACTCCCTAAACCAAGCTCGCTCTACAAGCACTCGCCGACCTCGGACATGGCCCCCGAAAACCACAAAGAAGCATGAAAACAGACGCAACGTAGTCAAACTGAAGGTGCTGAAACATATCTCTCAAGATCAGGACTGCTCTCGCCCTCTTACTCGTGGCAGTATCGCTTATCCTCTCCGACATCTGGAAGCCATCCTCTTAGCCAGTTCAACCAGCGGCATTCTGATTTCCCAGCACATCAAACTCGTCAATGTGCAGACATGTGCAAACCCTCGGGCAGACCACTGGGACTGGAAGATGGCCATGCTGTTGAGCGGGAAGAAGCCAGGCCTAGCCCAGGACATCAATGTGCCAACGTTGTTCTTGTTATAATTCCTATTTTTGGTTTTTGTTATGATTCTTATGTTTCTTTTTATACCTTTGTCATTGCTATGGTTCTTATGGCATATGTTTATATTATTGTTATGATTCTTATGTCTATACTCATCCTAACGTAGTAGTACCATTCGACACTGAGGCTACTCCCGAGACCCGAGAAGGCGCAGGCCATTTGCATTTGAAGTGTGTGAAAGGGGGCCCACTCGGCTGCACAGCCCTAACCCTAAACCCTAAACCCTAAACCCTAAACCCACAGGCCTGATTTCGATGTCAGGGAAGCTCTTCATCAACTGCATGCCTACCTTGGCTTTAGTTGATCACGGTGGCTTCCGGGCGAGGGAGGGGCCATACATGTCAGCAAGCACCCACAACAGGTTGCATGGGTAGTGCTTTTGCATGTTACACTAAAAAAGGGTTTCCAACCTAAACTAAACCCTGTGAGAGAATCAACAGGCGAGAGTGAGGCACAAATTTGAAAGCATTCCATGCAAAGCTACTGCGATTAGGAAGGAGGCAAGGAGGGAAGGAGGGAAGGAGAGGGAAGGAGAGGGAAGGAGAGGGAAGGAGATGAAAGGAGGTGAAAGGAGGTGGAAGGAGGGTCCTTGAAGGTCGAAACCTTGCATTTCTATGACGCGCAGCACGAAACAAATGCCGCCAGCGCAAGCATCACAAGCAGAGGAAGAAGCCGAATATGGTAGGCAAGGCTGACTTGTGCGAGACGAGTCCGACAGCAATCGACAACAGCGCCGCTACGGGGGCAGCAAGATGCGAGGGCATTTCCGAAGAACCAAAAAAACCTGCAAGAAAATGAGCCCAGGCTCAGGCACAGTCTAGTCTTGCCACGCCCTGAAGATTTCGAAGCTTGCAGGCAGCTTCATGGGGGAGTCTGCACGAGTACAAGCAGGGCATGTACATGGAATTATGGAGGCACGAAAGGGTTGTCTGTATGGGGACCTGCATCTTGAGTCTTGTGTCTTCTCGGCCAAGCTGCATCCTCGCCGCTCAAGCCATCTGGAAGCAGAGCCGCATTGATCCACCACACGCTATCATCACCTGTCCAACAGAGTCTGCCATTCACGTGACGTCACACGGCTCGGAAGGATCTTCACTGATGTCTTTGGGTACGACATGTCCGCATTGTGCAACCCTACCGCCCCCGCGGGCTGTGCTGTCAAGATGCCTTCGGATGCCTGCTGCAGCCTCACACCTGTCCCACACACTCAGAAATCTCGAAGGTACTTAAACAGAAACTTCCATGGAAACTTCAGTCGCCTGCCCAGGAAACGATAAGCAGGTCGGTGCTTTGGACAAAGAATCAACTGCTTCTGTGCTCAGGGGTGAGGACTACGCGGCTTCGTGCAAATACTGCCCCATGGCCCGGGGGGCCTTATGATGCCATGTCTCGCTACTGAGGATGCCGGCAGACTGTGTGTAAGACATCTTCTCTCCATACCGATGCGCCTGTCAATGGCGGACGTGAAGCGATGCCATTTTCGTACCTTGCGCCCATGGTGCCCACACGTGCCCACATGTGCCCACATGCGCCCACATGCGCCACGCGAACTGCCAACAGCTGCAGCCGGGGTCTATGCCAGCTGTGGATGGCACGCTTGCGCTCGATCATGACCTCGAAAACCAGCCATCAAGGCTCTGCAGTGTCAAGCCGATGTGAGCAACTCTATGGTTGGTGCCGGAAGCATCTCCGCAGCTGCGCAACCGACGGCTGCTAGCCTCATCTCGTCTGAAGTCAGCTACGGCCGCTGGTCCGAGAACGCTTGTGGCAACTATTGCTCAGTCTCGGGTGTCCCAGTTCTCGCCATGATGGGCCTTGCAAACCCACCAAAAGCTCCTTCATCGCTACGTTCCCACTTTTCTCCAATTCCGCACGTCCCCTCGCGAAAAGGAAATTGCAGAATGCAATTCTTCGCGCTTTACATGTGACCGTTGAGCATGCTGTTGATCCACGCTGCGTTGCTTCAACCAGGTTCATGCTGGATTGGCTGAGTCTCGTGTTAGAAGCATGGGGTGGATGGTGCACATATCAAGTGGGACATGTCAGCCGGCGCTGCCGCAGCATCTGTCACAGCGAAGGCAGCGGGTACCTTTTAGTGGGGGCGGTCAATGAACCGGCAAAGATGCTTCTCTTCATTGCTTTTGTTCCTCTTACTCCTTCCCCACTTTGCCCACTTTCCCCACTTTGCTCGACTTTCCCCCACTTTCCCCCATTCCGAAGAAGCGGTGCGATGCCGTGGGCGCCCAGTGACGCAAGGGATCCGGTGCCAAAGCCAACCTTGGCATCCAAGCAGGGCCTTTGATCAACGCAACCAAAACACGCATGTCCTGGTGAGAAATGGCAACATACAAGGGTTCCACGACAGAGCTCACAGACCACGTGCTGCCGTGAGGCTGGTAGCGCTGAGGCAACTTGAGCTGTTGGGCTGCTTGTTGGGCGGCGGCCTGCGCCCACTACGAACTACGAGGCTCGCGCAAGGATCTCTGGCTTGGAGATTCTTGTCAGCATCATGAATAGCAGGCAATCCCTCCCTGCAATTCACGCTGTCTTACACCAGACAGCAAACACCCGAGGCCCTGAACCCTCACTGATGATGCTCGACGGGATGGCCTGCGCATTCTCCAAGTAGCCTGAGATCCCAACTCGCCATTGTAGAGCTCACCCGCTGCTTCCGAATGCAACAAAGCCCAAGCCGAAGCCTACAACTTGGCCGAGCCAGTTAAGCTTCGGGACGTTCATCCCGCGCTTTCTCTTCGCTGCTGTGAGCAGCTGCCAGCCATTGCGCAGCAGCCTTCTCCTCCACAAAGAGCATCATAAACAAAGAGCCAAGTTTCCAAAGGACATGGGGCGTCAAGAGTATCCATGTTCGTAAAAAAACGAGGAAAGTTGGCCGACTTACAATCTCTCTAGCTGAGTCCCTTGTCCTTGGCGGCTGCCTGTCGAGCCGTCTGCGCTGCGAATTGCTCAGTGAGATCCGCTGACGTGTCCTGAAGGGATCAGTATTCTGGCTCCTGCAGCATTGTTCTCTGCTCTGCCCTGAGAGGGCTCTCGGCTAGGAGGTAATCAGACATAGATCGACAGGCACAATGCCTGTGTTGGGTTCAGCCACGGGGCAGCATTGGGTCGAAGCGGAACATAGTGAAGTGCTAGATACATTGCCCTCTCGTGCCTGTCCACGCCTGCGAAGCACTGCTGCCTGACGTCCGTGTTGGTTTCTCAAGCTCGCAGGTGGACGTCCACCAAGCGCCGATCAAATCCAGCCTTCGTCTTCAGCTCGTCTGCTTTTGCCTGCAGTTCCTGCTTGCAAAGAAAGCGCATGCTGGTACGTTCGGTTCAGATTCAGGTTGTCATAGCTCTCCGCAGTAATTACTGACATTGACATACTGAAGCAGCAAGCTACAGTAGACCCCTGCAAGCCCGAAAGCTCGCACATGCATCCGGCCTTTGCCGCCTTCGACGCCTGCATAGAGGCCTGGCGGTCCAGGCTGGGCAGCGTCTCGCCAAAGTGGGCCTGTGCCTTCCAGGACTCTACAAGCTTCTACAAGTGGCAACAGCAAGTGTGAAGGTCTTGACGCGGGACATGAAGATCCCTCCAGCGTGCTAGAGTGCCGCGCTTGCAAGCTTGCCATGGGGAAGCTAGGGCCATACTGCACGTATCTCGGGCCTCCAAGTATGGTTGCGCTGCTGCTCGAGCTGCCTGCGGATGGACATGGTTACTTGGGCTGATCCAGTGCCTTGGAGCCGTGCGCTGAGCAACGTAACATCTGCGCCTCAGCTGCCTGGATTCGCCAAGGCTTCGGGCCTTCAACATGCGCTGTGGCCAGCCTGCCAACTCCAGTTTGCATGAGGACAACCGCAGCCCAAGTCGAAAGACACTTTTGCATGGCCTGGTGTCGGTCTGCTTCATGAAGTTCAAGGCCTGAAAGGCGCGCGCTCCGAGAGCATGGTATATGTCAGTGTGCGTCTTCTGTCAGATAGAAAGAACATGTAGTGCGCACGTTACTTCTTGAAGCCATCGGGCCTTGTCGGCCTGCGACATTGCTTTGAGCCAGGTCTCATTGCGACCAGCCTTGAGCGCCTCCAAGACTGACGTCTGCTCACTTTTACCAAAGCTCCCCACAGTTTACCAAAGTCTCCTGTCCGCAAGCACGAAACCCTGCGAGGCATCTCCAGGCCCCGGCCTCGACAGACTTGCGAGCTGCGCGTGCAGCCTTTGCTGCTGATCCCTGCGGCTGCGGAGCTTCTGTGACGTTCCCAATGCGCTGAGAAAAGGTTCTCCAACAGGCTTCGCTGCTGAAACTCATGACTTGTTGGAGGTGGTTTAGCCTCTAGAAGCACATCCTGGCATTCTTGCTCCATCGCATGCTATAGCTTGCTGAGTTGACAGTTGACAGAGTGCAAAAAAAACACGTTGCACCCTACTACTTTTGTGCTGAGTGGTGTCCTCCGCTTGCCAGGCAGCATCTCGAGCACGGCTTGCAGCCTGCTCGACAATACTAAAACCAGGCGTGCAACGCTCAAAATCTCGCAGCTCAGACACCACAAGAGGATCGCTTTCCACATCCTGGGCAGGATTGCAAGTGGGAATCTGGAGCAACAGGCAAGCCAACGCTCTTGTGCAGAGCAGACTGAGTCAAGGATCAGGAATCTCATCTGCCGCCGCAGAGTCGGTGTCCTCGATGCCCTGCATCGAGCTTGTAGGCTCAAAGCCCTGACACCTCCCTGATATTTGCCACATCGCAGCGAGAATCACACGTTGTTGTTCAGGCCTCCGTCTCGGGAGGCGCCTTCCTTGGTAGACTGTGCTTCATTCAACTTGCAGCACGTCCCCCATAACAAGCCTTCCAAGACAAGCGTCTCGACCGCTGAGTCTTTGGGTGTCTGCTTGGCCCGGGTCGGGTCCGCATCCTGTTATGCTCCCTCTCATACATGTTTTCGGTCGTACATGCATCGTCCCTCTCACGGATCTACACTGCTGAAGCGTCTTTAGCGTCCCTCACGTGTCCTCAGGGTCCACTTCTTCGTCGCCCTCCTTTGCCAATGCCAGAGCCTGCGACTCGTGCTCGTACAAGAAGGCGGGATCCACGGGATTTCCGTCCGCATCGATGACCTCGCGCACACGCTCCGCAAATCGGCTTCTAAGCTCGGTATATCTCGGTATCTACCGGTGCCTGCTTTGTCTCATCTGCCGCCAATGCCAAGCATTGCGAGTTCAGTGAGCTGGTCAACCCAGACGGTGGCTTGCACTCCTCGAATGCTGCGATGCTTGCTAGATCTGCTAGGTGGCAACTCCAAGATCGTCAAAGACCAAACACCTGCTGATTCGGTCAAGACGCGTAGAAGCAGAACCGGGCATAGTCCACAACCTGGTCACGGGCCACGAGCCCAAGCACCTCGAGATTTGCAAATGCATGGTCCGCATGGCAATTGTCTGCACTTGCCATCGCCTCGTCACCAGGAGTTGTCTGGCATTGCTCCGCACACACTTCGCGGCTGTGGCCCTCCGCTGGTCCACACTTCACACCTGTCACCAACGCAAATGTACATGATACATATCTATATATGTATGGCATGATACAATACATATGATATATGATATATGATATATGATATATGACATATGATATATGATACATGATACATGATATATGGTATATGATATATGATATATGATATATGATATATGGCATATGGCATATGATAAATGATATATGATATATCATAAGATCTAATATAATATAATATAATATAATAGAATATAATATAATATAACATTTATATAATATACAATAATATACATAATATATAATATATAATATATAATATATAATATATAATATATAATATATAATATATAATATATCATATATAATATACAATATCTCATAATATACAATATATAATATATGATATATGATATATGATATATGATATCTGATATTTACTATCTGATATATGATATATGATGTATGATACATGATACATGATATATGATATATGATATATGATATATGATATATGATATATGATATATGATACATGATTTATGATATATGATATATGGTACATATATACACATATATATATATGTATATATATATATATATGTATGTGTATATATATGTATAAATATGTGTATATATATATATATATATTAGTATATGTATGTATATATGCATATGACTATATATATATGTATACACACATATATAGACATATATAGACATACATGATATAATATGTATATGTACATGTATATGAGTATATACATATACATATAAAAATTTTGTGTACATATATATATATATGTATGCAGGTGATCGGCAGGTCGATGCCGCCAAGCCTACAGCACCCTGGCGCTCATCTGGGCGACGATGCACAACATTGCAGCCTAAGCAGCAACAAAGCGAAAACCAAGTCGTCTGCAAACCTTGCTAAAGCTGTCGGTTGCCCTACGGCCTACTTCGCAAGGGTAATTTGAATTTGGTTCCTGACAGTCACCTTTGCCGGATGCACAGAAGGACCTTCCATGCTACTTATCTTCTGGATCTCTGTCTTCTTGACGTTTCTCTCGCAGCCTCTGAAGGGAGTGTTTCTGGCCGGACCTTCACAATGGTCCCTGTAGCTAAAGCGTGCCGATTTTGGACTGGAAGTTGTGAATGTTCCTCGCTAGAGCCGTCACCCCCCTACGCCCCGTGTCTCCATGTGTCTCCCCGACAAGAACTTCGTCGATTCGAACACGCCTGTCTTTGGAGGGCCGAAGGCGGGCACTAGCTCACTAGCGGTGGCTGTGCTCCTGCTCCTCTCTTAAGGCTGGCTGCCCAACTGCACACAGCAGCATTACATTGGCCTGTGCCAAGAGGCAGTCGCAGGAGCAGCCAGCGGAGCGGCCTCACAACTTCTTCAACAGCTTGAACCTACCCAAACTCTTCTTGTGCGAGCCGAAACAGGATGCCACCATTTTTGGGGAACAGAAGAACACCAGGGCAAGGTCCACGGCCTTGGCGCTTGCTCCTGGCCCTCCCGCGCAGCTCCGCACGCAGCTCCGCGGCCGCGGTTGTCACAAGAAGCAACAGGGAGATGTGTGAGACGCACGCGAGTCTCATGCTCTTCGCAGCTTCGCTCCCAGAATGGAATCTCTTTCCGAAAGCAAGAGGAGCAACCAAATGACATCAAAGGATGACATCAAAGGATGTCTAACAGGAGCCCAACCCAGAAGTTCATCCTCAGGTGCTTCATACCGATTCATACCGTCTGTGCGAAGATGCCAAGCTTCGTTCGGGCAGCCCGTTTGGGCCGCCCAGCTGAAAGCAGAGCCAATTGGCTGCACAAACGGCAATCACTTTCGAAGCTGCAGTCAGCCGTTCGGATATTGAGGGAGTTGGCCGTTTGATGCATCTTATCATTACAACAGTGGCCGTGAAGTACGTTTATGTGCACACGGAACAATCTGCGCCACGAACAAAGAAGCTTGTTCAGTCTTGACATCACTGGGGATGCGGCATTTCCGGCATTCGGAAGTTTTGCCCGACTGCGTCGTGCTCATATACACGCCACAAGCCCACACCTCGAAAGAGAGCGGAATGAGCAGCCTACAGTGTTCGAGGGCGTCCATCTCACAGTTCCCTCGGTTTCTTCCCTCGTTTCCACTGCGCCTCTGCAGGGTGCCCTGGAGCCTCGGCATGCTCTGAGCTACACTCAAAAAAATATGCGCTGTGTCTCACTGGGCAGTCAAGTAACACCACCACTTGGCCCTGGCGACCAGGGTCGCATCATTTCCAAGGATGGCTCCGCCCTGGCGCTGGAAATGCATAGAGCAAAAGGAAGCAGCTCTGAAAGCATCTCGCAATCAAGGGTTCTTGGAATACTAAGACCACCCCCTGCGCTGCCTCACCGACGCCAATCATCTTCTCAGAGCGCCTAGGCTTGAAGCGCCAAACCCGAGCTTGAGAAGCCGTGCAGATGGGGAGTCTTGCTGCCAATGCACGATTCGCCGGTTTCAGAGCACCAGCAACATCTACTCACTTGATTCCAAGCACAACTTGGCAAGGAAACGACCAAAGCACGGGTCTCTATGTTTGGTTAACCTGACCCACGGTCTGGGTCCGTTCGTGCACAGCCCACCAGGACGGAAATTGAAAGTTTTCAGCATGGTATTCCCGTATCTCCAGTCAGAGTGCGTCGCTAAGGCACCAGTGTTTTGAACACCAAGCTTTGTGCCTTGGCGATTGCACTTCAACCAGGTGCCATACTTTCCCGATTGGAGGCTTTGCAACAGTTTCCGCTTGGGCACCTGACCAAAGAACAACTACACGTGTATATGACGTCCTTCAGAAAACGCGGCATGTCGCATCCGTTTCAGTTTGGATTCGATCCTCAGAGCCTCCGGCAGATTCCAAAGTAGTTCCACCCGCTACCCCCCGGCCCCAAGCCGCCGTGACAAACGTGCGTTTGCTGGTGCTATGGTTGAGTACGCCTGCGTTGGAATGAATGGATGGTGGTGGTGGTGGGTGGCGGTGGCGGGCGTTGTCTTGGCAGAGAAAGACGTCCAGCAAGGCTTTTCAAGTGCACTTGGCCAGGACTTCAAAAGGGACTTGCTGCAAGCTTTCAGGCATCAATGCAGGCGACATGCCGAGGTTCTCACACAGACACCACACTCAATGTCGCCATCGAGCCCACGGGGACTCTGAAGCCACGTACCTCAAGGCAAGCCACTGTCGGTCTCTGCAGATGCCAGGAAGTTCTACATGCCACTGAATGCTGCTATCTTGCTGTTGCTACATTGTTACATGCTTCTTCCAGCCTTCAGCATATAGAATCCAGAAGCTTTTGGGGCGAGCTAGAAGTTCCCAGAACATTGCAAGGAGATTCTCTCCGGCACATTGCAGCTGGCTCCATAGGACTCGCAGGCATCCTGCGCATGCCAGAAAAGAGGAGCAGCAAAACAAACCCCCCACGAAAGATGCAGTTGTGATGCAGTCCTCGCAGAGCCAGAGGCCTTTCTCCTTACAAAG